ACTTGACTGCGTATCAGTTGGGTTTGAAGGGTAAATATCGTTACATTCAGTGGACACCATCACATTTGAAGCAATTTAGTCACACCGCTGATGTCATATTTGGGCATATACGAGCAAGTTTGCAAATATTAACTGTCAACGGTGAAAAAATCTGTCCCCGGTAGCGAACGGCGCTTCGAATATGAAGAAAGCTGCTGCGGAATTTAATGTGAAATAGGCACTAAACTCTGCCGATTTATCAAAACCAGTTTCCATTATTTTAGCTTGCAATGCGGTGCGCATCTTATCAATCTTGCAGTTCGAAAAGCCCTAAACTGCGAACATGTAGCTCCTCTGATAAACAAATGCAAATCCATCGTCACTAAACTGAATCATAGCAGTGTCCTGAGGGGAATATTTAGAAGATACTCACATACTCACATATTTAACAAATGGCTGATAGTAATGTCGGTGTTCAGCTACCTAGACGAATTCAATCTCCCCAAAATCACACCAAGCAGCTTGTCCAACGTTGGGGGTCGACATATGCTATGATATGTGACGTCATTTTACGGTATGGCCGCCAGTTTTTGTAGTCCCTATGTTTTGTATGCAGAGAGCGGCCCTAGACAAGTTGAAGGAAAATCATTCTGACCTTTTGATGCCGAAGATACAAAACATTGAAATCCGTCAAAGTTTTTTTGGAACCATATTACGACTAACAGAAAAGATAGAAGTTTACGACAATTGTGATAACAACTTGTCGATCTCGACATTCTCAGATGTGCGCCGCGGATGCCACCAACTATCTTTTACTCGCTGGAGGAAAGTTGCTCCTTGCGGAAGAAAGGTATCTCAGGGACGTTCAATATATCGAAAATGTGCAGAATACATTTTCAGTACTTGCAACGAGCCTAGAACCAAAGTAAAACAATTCGGAAATATCTCCTTAAGGAGACCAGGCGTCAGTGCGCGTGCGCGCCGTCTTTTGCCGATGAGATCCTTCGAGCTTCACTCTTCTTGATCCGAGATCTGCTTTTCTTGAGAGGATCCTCCGAGGAATGGAAAACAACTGTGGAAAGGCTCATCAAACTCAAATGGAAGAACCCTCCCATTTTTTGACATTGGTGCCACATCTGTTTTTCAGTAGGTCATTCAAACAGTCAGGAATCGCGGGCAGAGACTGTGGTGTGCACTGCAAAAGAGGGGCTAACGTCTTTCTGGAACCCAATCGCGGATCCCGAAAATGAACCAGTTGCGAAAAGGTGCTTACTATCAGATAGAGGAGAAGAAATGTGGTAAGAGGCATCCTATTTGTTTTCTTGCAAATACTGACTAATTCAGATCGAAATCCAGCAGTATAAAGAAATTCCATGGAAGTTTCATCTTCATGAAGAAAGAACATCGCCGGTGGACATGGGAATCGCCCAACGAAAGGACTCACGCGGAAATCGACACCATCCTCATCAACTGAAAGTGGAGCTTACTCGATGTCTCAGTTTCCATCCTTTTGCAATGGCTCCGATTACTGCCTCATTCCAGCGAAGATACGATTCAGTCGAAGGCTGGAGAAGAAAGGCTGTCACATTGCCGCAAGAAGGAAGGAAGTCGTTTATGATGGTAACAGGCTGGAAGAGCTCAAATATAATTGTGGAAGAGCTCAAATATAATTGACTGGCCCATCAAGGAGGAGGACCCAACGTACGACTACGACCGCTTCTGAAAGGTTTGCGAGCTTGCGGAGAGAGTGCGCCTCATTGACTTTTGAGAAGAACTTGGAACACATTTTAAAGACAATCAAGAAATCGTTTGAAAGAAAAAGATCCCTGAGGCAGAATTTAAATGCAACCTATTTCATGCGACTGATAGCCAACGCCATTTGTGGGACAGGTTCAGGTCTCAGGAAGTACAGGCAACCCAACATACTGGAAGCAGCCGAAGTAAGACGAAGTTTCAAGATGTGCTAAAGGGACCTTTGCGATTATCACGTGTCGATGATTGCGCTATTGAACAAGACAGGACACCGACTTCTTCCCAATACAAGATGGAATCTATCGCAAAGAGCTTCTGTGCCAACCTCTTCCACTCTTAGGCACTAGTGCCGATGCTCTTTGTTTCCACTGGAGAATACCATTACGGAATCTACCTGCTGAAGTGTGCACCGCGACTCCATAAAGACATACACGGCTGCAGCTCCAAGATCTTTCCAGCTAACTTGTACGAGTTTGAGGACAACACCTATACAAGATCTTCGCGTCGCCCCTGACATTTATCTTCAAAAAGAGAAGATTCCCGACCAGTGGAGAACGTCAAGAACAGTCCTTTTCTCTAAGAAGGCTGAACGGAAGAATATTTGGAACTACCGTCCAATATGCCAGCTGAGTTCCTCTACAAACTTTTCACGAAAGTTCTCCTCGCTCCCATATCTAGGACACTGGATGAATCCCAACCTCAAGAACAAGCTGAATTTCGCAAAGGATTCGGTTGCATGGACCACCTCTAGACAGTTTCGAGGGTCATAGAAGTCTGCCGGGAGTACCGACTGCCTCTCGTCCTAACCTTCGCCGACTACGAGAAAGCCTTTGACAGCGTCGAAACCAACGCCATCCTGTCTGCGCCAGTCGATCAAGGAGTACCCAGCTTACGTGAAAACGTTAGCCGACTGCTACAAGGACAGTACAACGACGATGCAGCTATTCCATCGCCTCCTGACCATTCCAATTAGGAAGGGGGTCCGACAAGGCGACACAATCTTGCGAAAGCTATTCACCGCAGCCTTGCAGTGGGTGAAATCACTGGACTGGTACGAGAGAGGCATACGAGTTGATGGGAATTTTTTTCGAATAAATCTTGTTTTGCGAACAACATCGTTCTTTTTGCGCAGTAACACTGAAGAGCAGAGACGATGCTGAAGGAACTAAACGAAGTAGGAAAAAAGATCAGATTGCGAATAGATTGGAAGAAGCTCAGTTTATGAAGAAGGTTTTTTTTTTGCAAAAATGCAGAAATGGAACTGGAAAGCATCCTTGTTATGGAGACGTCTTCTTACGTTCTCGGACATTCGATGAGCATGGAGAACGACTTGAGGGAAGAACTTAACGGGAGAAGAAGGCCTTCGGGCTTCTGAAGGAAGCCAACGACCAACTGACGGACCCGGAGCTTCGTCCCCACCTGTTCAACTCAGCCGTTCTTCCGGCCCTCTGTTACGCAGCTGAGACTTGGGCCGACACTGTGGCCATGTCGTGCTCTACGGACCACCCACAGACCTTAAGCGCAGTACTAGGAACATCTTGTCGGACTGCGCAGTACGGATTCAAGAAGAATGCTCGTCTTCGTGACCTAGCATACTTTGCGAAAGCGAAACATATGGGCCGGTCATATCATGAGAAAAAAAGACAGATGGACATCAAGAATATCGGAGTGGATATCTCGCGAAGCGAAACGTCTCCGAGGAAAACCTCCAACGAGATGGGCAAACGTGTTAGTAGAACGGATAGAGAAGCTTGAGAAATCAGCGATACGACTTTTGCCCCTGGAACTCTGGACGCAACGACGACCAAGCAGATCGTGGATGTCTGAAGCAAGAGACAGGGATCAATGGAGTTTTCTGTACTGGGGCCCGCACGTCACGTAAGGACGTAAGTAAGTAAGTCTTAAAGTTCTCATAATTTTTACCGTCTTTACCCTAGACATCAGCATTTCTCGAGAACGACACCTACAAAGGGTACAAATACATGATTGTACTTTTGTATGTATGAGCTATATGATCGCTTGTATGGGAGAAGCTCAGGACTTCTAGGGGCGAAGTTTGCCATTTTACTCCATTCATTTTTTTCTTTATTTCTAGCCGTGGAAAAAATACGGGAAGTGTACAACTGAATGTTTGATGTGTCAAGCATATGCTAGAATTAAAAGGGAATTTCAAAGATTTTTTGAGGCCAAGATGCGATTTTTTATGGTAAAGTTCATTTTTATTGCTGTCCTATTTCAGCTCAACACTTCATGTCGATTATGAATTGGGCAGAATATTGATAGCCAACTTGTAGAGCTTGCTTCGCTCTGTTGAATGGTAGCTTAAAGGCAGTGCGTCGGCAGAATGAGACCCGTAGCAAAACAAGGCCACAGGGTATGAGCCCCCATAATGGAACCTATGGGCCAAAGTTCGATCTTTCTCTGCCACTTCTAACCCCCGAAATTCTAAAGCGAAAGAAGGGCTCATCTCCTGTCCTCTCCGAATCCGCCCACCACATGGACGAGTGAACGCGAAGCCCGTCATGGCGAAGACGCAGAGTCGTTGCGGGACCTCATGCTTATAGCATTGCGGCTGGCGATCTGACCGTGGAAGTCACTCGTCCATGGGGTGGGCGGGTTCGGAGAGGACAGGAGATGAGCGCTGCTTTCGCTTTGAAATTTCGGGGGTTAGAAGTGGCAGAGAAAGACCGAACTTGGCACATAGGTTCCATTACGGAGGCTCCTACCCTGTGACTTTATTTTGCCACGGGTCTCATTCTGCCGACGCACTGCCTTTAAGCCTCATTAAATGATGCAAAGATACAAAGAACGACGGTTGCAATAAAAACGGTAAAAAAATCATGACACACCCTAATACACACCCTATGTTCGGCCATTTGCTACATATTGTGGCCGGACCGACCTATACATTGATCATCCCGCAGTAAAGCGGGCGGGTTCAGGGATCAACGGGGCTCTTCTGTTGAAAGCTTCTGTTTCACAATAAACGTTGATAGCGACGTGTTGTGTTTGCTCCCAGAGTCAAAGTTGCCCTATAGTGGCACACCCTAATACACACCTATTTAAATTCATTGACACACACCACACTTGTCTACTTTATGCACTTCGTGCATTCGTCAAATGATGTCAGTCATAACGCATATCGAAGCGGATAAAGTGCATGAAGCAGGATTGTGAAAATTCTGTATGAAATCGATTATTCTTTGATTCGGCTGTCTCGGCGGCTGGAAGGCGAGGATTCATGACCTTATTGAGGCTAGATAATGATCGGAGAGCAATCGCGCGAGAGAGATGCAGACAGCGTCGCAAGTGCGAGCGGCCTCAATTAGGTCACAAAGCCCCGCCTTCCAGCCGCTAAGGCAGTTGAATCAAAGGTTATAATTGTTCTTATACGCGTCAGTTTGAGGCTAGATTACAAAAGTGTGTACAAGTACAAGTACAACAATGTGTAAGTTGTGACCGAAGTATGAAGAAATTTTCTTGCTCATACAAGGTTGTACAGTATTAACAGTGCTATGAAATGTCTTCCAAAGGCTACGATTTCGCAGACAAACCGCTCCACCACCACGACGAAGCTGCGATTTCTGAAAAAACATAACAAGTTTCAAAAAATACACAAACTTTCAAATTTATTCAAACCTGTCGATTCGTATCACCGAAACACACTATATGTGGGCTTCTCGAGTCGGCTACAGCCCATTTAGAATGATCCCTCGAGCTGTTGAAAGCTATATCAGGCAATTGTACCGAAGTCACATCGTATACCTTGAAAATTGATTTTTTGCATAACCAAAAAAAATTATGATGGTGTGTGAACTGACACTGGTTCTAGCTGTGCACATACTATCCAAGTCATCACTGCCGCCATTCAACCAGCTTTCTACAGCCATGTTGATTTTTAACTCTGGAGCCACCAGATCAAACCAAAGATCTATAAACATGAAGTTAACTAGCAGAGCGTCTCAAAAACACACGTATCCTTCAACTGCTATTATCTTTCTTCCCGTGAATTTTTATGAATTCAAGTACCATTTTGTAGAGCTGTCTCCACTTAGATTCAAATATGGTGAAAATCATCGATTGATGTCTCATTGGAGTAGGATTACGGTAGGAGCAGGAGAGAGTTCTGTAGAGGCCACATTTTGCTCTAAAACGGAAGCAAACGAGTGAAAACTCTTACACTAAGCTAGTCAGGGTTGCTCACTACAAACGTAAAGTCGTTTTACTGCAATGCAACTTTCAGAAGTTATCCTAGATATACGTAACAACTATATCTTCAAAATTTTTCAAAAAAGTTATTTTCCTGCATTCTATATTCAAAATGCTCAGATCTCATGTAAATTAGTGCTGTGAACTTGGATTGCGTAAAAAGCTTGCTTGAAGCTCGTTCCACCCATCCATGCTTATCTGGATTCGCCGACAGCGAGTACAGCACTCTGCTTGAAAATTTCTTGGAGTTGTCAAAAAAGTGCTTTTTATGGCGTTGTCAGGTCTTGGAGATTGCTAAAGGGGCTGGAGGAGAGATTCCTGTCAAAGACAGCGACTGGCTGCATTAGACTGTCTTGTTGGAGTCACTTTACCCACGCAGCAATTGGCTGATTGGCAGGCAGCCAATCAGCCAATTGCCGGACGAGCCTCAGTTTTCGGGAATCGCTCGTCCGGCCCTTTCAGCAACCTCCAAGGCCGAAAAACGCCATAAAAAGCACTTTTTGGAAAGTTCGAGAGATTTCAAGCACAGTTCTGCATTCAGCGAATACAGAAGGCCAAGGAAGGACGAACAAATTGCAGTCGCAATTTCCTGAGCCGATGCCTTTAAAAGCTCATCAGAATTTCTTCCAAATAGCCTACAATCATGACTCTTTTTGCCAAGGGTTCCCACCTTGGTCTTAAAGTAACGAAGAGGTATCGGTGATTCGCTCCACACTATTGGAGCCATTTCTACAGAATGGTACGGGAAGGGATAGTAAGGGATAAATACTTCAAATACTTTTGGGACACTGTTTTAACGGTTGCACGTGGATATATTCAGAAAACTAGCAAAATTCTTCTTCAACTTTACCTCTAGCAAATTTTTTGTGCTTCGCAAAAGTCTTCAACGTCTGTCCTCCAGCTGTTTTAAATTGTCGAACTTTAGTAAAAACAGTCTCCGCTTTCGATAATGACTGCTTTTTTACAATGTTGACAAGGACTGGAAACCTTAAATAGAACACCTTAGTTTATACTTCAACGCCTCATAATAACAAGATTTTACCTCAAACTAAAAATATCAGGCAGATTCGTGAAATATGGTGTAGCTTGAACATATCGAAGATGTTCGCCCACATCAGCGAGAGTTTCAGTGGGGAGTGTGAGACAAAGAAAGCTTTGACCAAATTTGATCCCAGTGGACGGGTAGGTGTAAGTACCTAGACTGAAACATTTGTCATTTTCACATAATTTAGTTTGAAAAACTTACCTGCTGCCGGAAAATTTGGTACACTATGAATAATCCAAAATCCACTGCTCTGGTCAAATAAGAGAACTCCTTTGCTGTGTCCTCGGTAGGAGTCGACGCTTCCCGATGGGCTATCATCATTGTAAGCGAAGACAAATTGTCCCTAAATTATAATTTTGGTCCCCACGCTATTTGATTTACACTAACTTGATCGTGTTGATAAAATTCCCTTAGGGTTGCTCCCACTGCTGTCTGATCATTTTCTATACTCAGTGGTGCAAGTGTCCAATTGCTGCGATTCGGATCCACGTAGTAGAATCTAACCGGGGGTTTGGACGCAGGAGGCTTGTAGACTACATACCCAAAAGGCTCGAATTGATCAAATCTCAAGGAAAAATTTGAAAAAATTGTTGAACATACCAATCCACCGGTTCACCGACCAGACCTCGACAAGTGATAGCGGCATCAGCATAATCCACAAACATAAATAAGAGAAGAATTAGCATCTGGAATGGTTTCTGGAAGAATCTACATCGACGACAAAGTGTAGCACTTGCTCATACAAAGGTGATATGTACTCCTGATTATTTGGTTACCATAAGAATTACTCGATTTTCCTTACGATTTTGGATAAGATGTACGGTCTTTTCAAAGTGTAAAAAATCATAAATTTTTACACCTTAGAACATAGCATATAGTAAAAAAAATCAGTATATAGCATAGTGATCATTTTCATAAAGACAAGATAACGACTTTACTTCGATAGACTTGGTTTTCACTACCAAGGGCTTACAACATTTTGAAGTTTCCAATACCCGGACCAGAGTTCAAAGAAGGTACTATGTCCTAAAAATCTACTTAGGACAGAAGGGTAGCTTGCATGACATGATTGAATATAAATGTATTGAGATCTGAAATAATCACAAGAACAATATTCACAAAAATGAGGCAACTCGCGTGTGCCGATAAAGGAAATGTTGAAGGTGCATCGGTAAGCGGTAAGGGTCAAGGTTATCACATTTGCATTCTTTATCGCATCGTTAGTATAGAAAAGCAATGCTTCTCTCAGAAATGATTTCAGCTCCCAAGCATGCCTGAGCAAATCCGGGTACCTGATCTTTTTGTAGTGGAATTCTATTTGGAAATAACGGTCCTAAAAGGTTATGCTCAAGCAGCAGCTTAGCTAATACATCCACTGAAGACATGTACCTATAAGTTCTTGCCCACTACCGCATACTATACCGTACTCTCTAAGAGTGGACTAATCAGCAAATCCGAATTTAGTGCACTGAATAAGGTCTTGCTCAAGCAGCAGCTTAGCTAATACATCCACTGAAGACATGTACCTATAAGTTCTTGCCCACTTGCCCACTACCGTATACTAAGTACTCTCTAAGAGTGGACTAATCAGCAAATTCGATCACGATGCTGGGGAGGAGTTCGACTGTGATTTTTTTACCTAAGAAAGAAGCATTTGAACTGTCGTTTAAGCAATTTTTTGGTAACTCCTTCCAGTCATTATCCACCTGAAAAGTTCGGATTACAAAGCACAAATCTGCTTAGGTACTACCTTCAGTGTAAAAAATACCAAAAAAAGCTGTGGCAGACAAAAAAAAATTAATTTTTCATGAGTAATGCTGGAAAAAATTTCACACGCGTAGTTATACAGCGACCATTTTGAAGCAAGAATTTTCAGTAGATACAAAACACTTTGATGACCAATATGTTTGTGAATCACTGCAGCAAACCACTGATGAGAGCGATGATCGAATTATGAACGCAGTGATTCATAGGTTGGCAATCGAAAACATCAAAGATGCGAGTAACGAACTGCGTCCAAGCGCGCCTTGTGATGTAACAAATTACTGATGATGGATTGGCAGGAAACGCAAGGCAGCGCCAGCTTTATTGATGAACTCTAAGAAAAATCAAAAATAGCGATCTCTAATCAAACATCGAAGTAATGTTAGATTTAATATGAAAAAATCTGAAATTTGCTCAAGCATTTATCATCTATTCCATGACTAGGAGACGCGAAACCGCATTGCGGACGTTGTCTTAACAAGTTTGAGTTTGTTCTTTCATGTTTCCAAAGAGTAAAAAGACCTGGACGAGATAAATAACAAGTATAAACCTTCTAAATACACGATCAGACTTGTATAAACAATGTGTGCAATGCGATCTCACGTCTCCTGGTCATAGAATGAATGATATCTCTGGCTGCGTCAAAGGCAAAAAATTAGGCGGGGTTCGAGTATCAATTAGCGCATAAAATACAAATACATCATAACGGAAGATTACTGGCTTGCAATAACTTTCGTTGTAAAAATTGTAATAAGGTATTATCATCTATCACCACCACCTCATCAGTGTTCTATAATATTGTGAGCAAAGCTAACGAAGTTTTTGTGCCGGAGAAACTTCTCGACACAAAAAGGAAAACGTTGGAAAAGCAGATAGAAGTAAGACTTGAGAGAAGGTTTGGGAAACTCGATTATTGTTAGGGTCAACAATGTTTCGTATTTTCTTCAATTCTATGATTAAGTCTCATGATAGAAGAATCAAGTATTTTTGTGAAAAATATAGTCTTCATGTAAAAATATTATATCGTGCGGGTGAGGTGACGACAGTAAGCTGATTTGGTGTAGACAAATAGCAAATTGCGAAAAGAGATTGGCTTGCAAGCTTATTTATAGTAGTCAAAAAATCCAAATATTAGGTTGTCTCGAAAGTTTTGTCCGTTTATTCAAACCACTATAAAACCACGCACAATATAGATCTGAATGAGTTTCAACTGCTTCGATGCAGCCTTTCCTTCTCTTTTACATTAATATCATTCTAAGACTAAAAGACGCGAGACCGCATTGCAAACCTTGTCTAAACAAGCTTAATCGTGCGCTTAGCAGGTTTATACTTGTCATTTATCTCGTCCAGGTTTATTCACCCTTTGGAAACAGGGAAAAACAAACTCCAACATGTTAAGGCAATGTCCGCAATGCGGTCACGCGCCTCCTAGTCTTAGAATAGATGATACTTTCGAGCCACAATCCTGTATGCTTTGATAATTGCTAAAATTCTCCACCAATTCTATATACTTGAAGTTAGACTAATTTCTAAAAATTTCATTCCGAAGTTTCGGAAAGGATTAATTATGGATCAAATAGAGCAATTCTCGAACTACAAGATAAAATTTTTAGATTTTCCTAATCTGCTGTTTTTTGCTTTAAAAAATTATATTTTCAGAGTCTCGATTTTTGACAAAGTCATGAAACATGCAACTGCAGCAAACACGAAAGCTTTTGAAGTTTTTGCGAATTGAAACATGATCCTTATTAAATATTATTTCTGCAACACTACAAGTTTTGATATGCTTTGAAAAAGCAGCTTTTCGGAATTTTCGGCACTTTTACGTGGTAAACGTAATCCAAAAGCCGCAGTTTTTATTGGATAAGTGATTATAACAGACTTGGTAAACGTTGGCCATGTAAGCTACAATAAAATTAATGTAGCCAAAGTCTGCTCTACATAATAGTTATCAGTGCACTTTGAAAACATCTGAACAAAATTTTTCGAAATTCAGGAAGGATTTGACGTTACTGTTGAGCTACTCAAAAAGCCACGGCGATAACATTGCAAAGACAGGGTAGATTAAAGAATAAATATAGCTATAAGAAAGAGGATAAAAATCTGAATCAAACGATACCTAAATCGCCCATGATTGGTGTTCTGTGGGTTTAGTGTGAGAATTGAAAAAACTGACAAAACTTTCAAAACAACCTAATATAATATTCAATATCCCAAATATAGTACAAGAAACAAAATTCCAAAGCTTTTTCAAAATTGTGCAAGCAGTCCGTTTCTACCTGCAAATAGTTAACTATTAGGGTTACACAAACCAATTAGTTTAGTAAGAAATGTAACTTTCTGGGCACGGATGCTAGCATTTTTTTCTGTATTTAAAAGCCTTGCCGAAATCTGCGAAGCTTTTTAACACATTCACGACAATACGACACACCGGTGGGTCGTATCCGAAGTTTCTGGTTTTGTTAGTTCACGGTGAAACGTTTTAGGCGAACAGAGTAAACTTCTGCACACACCTCTTCGAGTACTTCCTAAAAAAATTAACCAGACCACAGGGTCTATCAGTGACCTGAAAATATTACGCAAACTCAATTTTGCGAAATATGCTCTGGTCCGAAATGGCAGTCATCGACAAATCGGCCCTGTCGTGAATGTGTTAAAAGTTAGAGCCTGCGAATGTCTACAAATTTGGACATAGTTGATAGTGTATTTGTGGTTCTGAGCCCTGACCCGAGCTTCCCAGAAAATTTCGAGGAAAATGGCCAACGATTTATACCGAGAAAAAAATCCTGTAGGCTCTCCCCTTCTCGTCCGCACTCCTAAAAAAAATTTTCGTCGTCATGGGAAGATTCTGGTGCGCAAAAGTCATGATCTCATTCTTTTCATAGTAGTTCTAATTTTGATTCACAAACCATAATTTTGAAATTGTACAAAATTTTCGAGGAGTTGTCAATGAAGGCTGTAAATTTCCCCTTCCACGTGGCCTCGGGGCCAATGGGCTTGAATTTTAGCGAGATCTATGGAAGAATTTTCCCGCTTGTCGTCAAGAGACTATTGTCTCGTCGTTGTCGAGCCGTTGTTTGCTGTACGTTGTATCGCTTTCGTCTCAAGAGGGTACTTCACTAATAGTCCACTCTCATATATCTTTGCAACATATCTTCTCGAACTTTTATAGTGTTGTCTAAATTTGAAATACTCAAAATTTTTTACTACCATACTCCCAAGTTGCGTGTTATGACAAAATTTTTTTTCGATTTTTCGAAGTGTTTAACGATTTCTTAAGTGAATGGCAATTATATTATTACTAAATGAATGATTTCATTCATTTAACCCATTGACGACGCCTAATTTTGCGTGGCGGCGCTGCGGGAGGACGCAATTTTGCACAACACTTTCGATGTGAGAAGGTTTCGTGGTCATTTACAAAATGCAAGGTTGTCTTGTAAAAACCGTAAACATTTCCTTGAACGATGGAGCCTACAGGTCCCAAGAGTGCAAAAAAAATTGGAAAAAATACTAATATGCGGAAAAAATACTAGGCCTATAAATAATATGACTTTGCCAGAGGTGTGGGCCATCGGTGGTCCACATCGTCGTCAATGGGTTAATTGTTTATCTACAATATCTACATCGTATTCGAATTTACATCTCAACAAACTACGGTAGTTGTAAATGGTATTGCTTCAGCCAATATGAAAATCATGAAATAAATTATAAGCTGTATAAGTGATCATTGAATCATATGTCAATGATATTTTCTCAAAAAAAATTCTGACCATGGGGTAAAGCAATACCATATACAAGTATAAAACATGTCAAGATTGTAACTGGCTTGGCGGCTGTAAGGCGGGGCTTTATGACCTAAATAAGGCTGCGTGCGCTCGCAACGCAGTCTGCATCTCTTCCGCGCGCATGCTCTCTGATCATTACCTGTCCGAAATTAGGTTAGTCCCGTCTTCCAGCGCCAAGCAAGTTGAAGCAAAGGTTCCCCTTCGGATAATACTATCGTGGCCCGCCATACAATTTCTATCAATTTTGAACTTTTTGGTCAGATTCATCAAGATCTGAGCTAATATTTATTTCCCGTTCTCAAGTCATACGTCCGCTTTGTATTTACACAAAAGTTTTCACTTTCGTCATTCACAGTTTATGCTCCTTGCGTTATGTAACGTCAGCAGATTCTCCCCAGTACCAAGAGGTCCACATCGATCTGCTCTCTTCTGCTACCTACCGGGATTAATAGCCATAGTTGATCATGAATTTCCTGTCCTCTGCAGTCACTGCCATCAAACCCAGGTGAGTTAAATAATTTTCTTCAACCATTTCCGTAATTGCACAATAAGGGCAGAAAAAAGCGGAAACGTTTGGTGTAACTGTGTTGTTTACCTTTGCTTTTTCCATAACTAAATACAGCAAGATCTTGGACAATCTTATATATAGAGCTGAATGTGTGTGTGTGTCTGTCTGTCTGTGTGTACGTATGTGCGGAATAGAAATTTTTATTTCTGAACCGATCGGGACCAAACTTGGCACACATACACTTCGGGGCAGGGAGCGTGTCATAGGCTACTTTTCATCATCGATCGATATCGATTTCATAGATTTTTATCGAGTTTTTTTTTGCAGAGTTCACATACGGGGCTGGGAGTTGGCACAGGATGGTAAGTGAGCATGGCGATTCCGAACACAATATTAGTTTCAGAATTATTGATTACTTTTATCGATTCCATCGATTTTTCAAAGTTTGAGCTACAGGAATGGGGGTTGGCACAGGGGGGTAATCGAGCATGCTGATTACGATTACAATATCAGTTTTTGGAATTATCCCTTACTTTTATCGATTTCATCAATTTTTAAAGAATTTGAGCTGAGGGGTTGGGGGTTGGCACAGGGGGTAGGTGGGCATGCTGACGAAAACAACGCAGGAAACGGGAAATGAAGTGTAGAAGTGGGCACAGGGAAAGGCTGTACAGGAGGGATGGAACTTTTATTGCAGTGTTATTACAGGGCCGAGCGGAGCCGGGTAAGCAAGCTAGTATCCAAATAATGATCGATTTCAGTGCTACGTTCATTATAATCAATTTCTCAATTTTTTATATATAGCACTGGTCTTCGGTTTCGCGGATTTGAATCTCGAAAATTGCGCAACTCAGAAAATCAGTTTCATCAAGATTCGAATAAAAAGACCGGGACCATCGAAGGTTCTACCTTTCATAATCAACACCCTTTAGACGTATAGGTTGACCAATGACGGAACTACTGAAAAGTGGAGATAAAACTTGAAAGTAAAAAAAAATTCTTCAACAATCGACTTAAGATTCGTAATCTTGAAAAATTCCGTTAACTTTTCGTTAAGATAGGGGAGGCTTGCTCAGATATATACCAGTGACTATACTACAAAAGTATTGCTGGTTGCTGCTCACTCCACACAATTTTCTTGTAGGTTAGATGATTCTGGTATCGATCGACTCAACTATTACTATTCTACGATGGTTATTATGGTATTATCAGTTACCATCACCGCTAAGCAGTATGTAGGATCACCATTACAATGCTGGGTACCAGCTCAGGTACGTTTATTCGCATTTCATAGCTATTGGAATTCACGGCATTTTGATTTAAAAATCAGGAGTGGTAGTAATTTGGTCGAAACCATCATGTTAGCTGTGTTTTCATGACACCAGCTAACCAGCAGCTTCACATCATTTTCCCAACGAAACCACGAATTAACCAATAGGAAACCTCGAAATGCTGTCTTGCAAAGCAAAGTCATTGGAGGAGATCGAAACTCCAACCATTCTCATGCTTGTCGGCAATCATTGCACTTTACCAAACTTGCAGTTCGGTCTCCAGCCTTGCACCTTCCTATAACCTTATCAAGCTGTAAACAAGTAAGCTTTCTCGTAGTAAGTTGCAGAATGATCTCCCTCACTCTTCTTGACTTGCAAAACCAGCACATTATTGTTTTAAACGAAAAAGTGGTCGGGGGTACTTTTTCATTTCAAACTATGATATGATGGTTTCTCGTCTGCGTCTCATGAAATGAAGTGCTGTTTTCATTACTTTACCTGATAAGGGAACAATGGTGTTTACCTGCTGATCATTTCATAGTTTGGTTTAGAATGAAACAAGCATGAAACAGCTATGGTTTTCCGATAGTTACTTGCTTGTTTCATGATTTTGTATGACCGATTGAACTGAGTGGCCGTGAAAAGATGATCATGCTTACCACAATGTAACCATGATTGAACTATCACATCATTTGTTGGTTTCGACCAAATTACTACCACTCCAGAAAGCGGAGATGAAATAATAGTCATATTCCATATTGTTATTATCAACCATCGTGGCGTACTACCACCATATCATCATCGATGATTTAACCTTTGATTTAATTTACTTGGCGGCTAGAAGGCGGGGCTTTGTGACCTAATTAAGGCCGCTCGCGCCCGCAATGCAGTTTGCGTCTCTGATCATTATCTAGCCTTAATTAAGTCACGAAGCCCCGCCTTTCAGCCGCCAAGCCAGCTGAATCAGAGGGCATCAAGTCAAGTCAGCATTTCACCGAACCAGAATCGGTCGATTTATTGATTGAAACTTCGCGGCATATTACCGTATAGGTATATTGATAAAATAAGTATTATACTGTATTACCGTATCATCAAGGCTCATACACTGATTTGCTAGCCATACATGACGCTGTAACGTCAGTAATCGATATATTGATTTCGCCATCGCAACGCAATTCCTATCATCAATCGATGAATGATTATCCGGGCCACCGCGACATGTTATTCGGTCACTGTTGAATATATTGTTGAGTAAAACTGTAGTGTTTCACCTTATTTTAGACGATATATTGATTGAATCAAGCATCGCTGCAATAACCGTGTCCATTCGATATCTTGAGTGCTACATGCGTTGTTGGACATCACAGCATCATCGTTGGTCGGTATATTGATTAGTTGAAGCCATCGCAGCTTTTATCCATTAACCGACAATTATTGATCCGAGCTATCGTTGAAAATTTTCCGTCATCGATATACATGGTGTCCCAAAAAATGTATCGAACGTTTGATCTTTAATAGCTTCTCTATATGGAAAGCTTTCGTGGATTTTTGAGTGTCGTACGGTAGAGCTGGGTTCAACTTAGATTTATAGTAAAGAGTAAATCACCGATTTCACTTAGTTATCGTAGGATTACGGTGAATTTTCAACTAATTTTGAGCTTCCGACTGGCGAACTGCTTCAACAAAATTTAAAAAAAAAAACCGAAGAACGTTAAACCGAGGTTTTCAGGGATGCTGAATCTAATCACTAAGCTTTCCGCTACCGTACTCCTCATCTTCCTACGCACTGTGACGCTTTGGCTAACGCGAAGGCTTTTGACGTGTTTGTATTTGCAACGTTGATTTAGTGAATTTTGAAAAAAAAAGGAAAAAATTTGGCCCTTACAGTGCGCGTACCGTAGGTAGATGAGGACTACGGTGGCAAAAACTTCGTAATTAGATTCAGCATCCCCGAAAACCTCGGTTTAACGTCCTTCGGTATTTTTGGAATTTTTTAGAAACAATTCTCGCCTATCGGAAGCTTAAAATTAGTTGAAAATTCCTACCGTAATCCTACAGTAAACTAAGTGAAATCATTCGCTCTATACTGTATACCGAAGTTGAACCCAGCTCTACCGTATGACACTCATATAACCGCGAAACCTTTTCATATAGGGAAGTTATTAAAAATCAAACGTTCGATACATTTTTTTGGGACACCCTGTATTTATTAATCACACGCGGCAGTCAGCGTACCATCGTAGATCAATATATCGATTTTAACCACCGCTGCATATTAATACTACGTATTCATCAATAGAAGTTGGCTGATACAAGCTTGCGGTACATCACCATACCATCTAAATAGATATATCGACTTAATAAGGCGTCATGGTATAGTGTTATATCCATCAATCGATGTATTGATTGGTTCACATCGCGGCATATTAACATATCTTCATTGATCCATATTGATTGACTCCCATCGCGGCACACTGAAGTCGCAGTGTCGATATTTGATACGATTGATTCAAGCTTCGCGTACATTACCACCTACTGTACCAATCGATACATTGATCGTTGATCGGACCAAACCATGGCGGCATATTACTGTATGATCAATAATCTACTCTTTGATTCAACTGGCTTGGCGGATGGAAGGCGGGTCTTCGTGACCTAATTAAGACTAGGTAATGATTAGAGAGCACACGCGCGGGTGAGAGGCGGCGCGAGCGGTCTTAATTAGGTCACAAAGCCCCGCCTTCCAGCCGCCAAGCCAGTTGAAGAAGGTTACATACTTCGTATTTTCAACAATAAATTAGTTCGGCATACTGCTATCATTATCAATATATATTGATTAAGCCAAGCCACCATCGCATATTACCTTAACATCACCTAGGAATTATCGTAAAGCCACATGGGACACTACACTTCCCCATCAATCGATATATTGACTGATTTCTTTTCAGTTCACGAAAGCATGGGAACAATACGCAGAGAATTACTGTTTTGTCTATAATACGTATTGGGTACGACCGGATGAGGATGTTCCGGACTCTGTGGATACAAGGTCAGTTTCAGGTAATGCCCCAATCTTATCGGTACTGCTCATTTCTCAATATCCCTTGAAGAATTGCACAACAATTAATCTACTATCAATGGGTACCATTCATTATGGCCCTAGAGGCTGCATTGTTCTATTTACCAATCATATTCTGGAGTCAAGTAAATAATAAATCCGGGTTGAATATCGAAAATCTCGTTCGAGTTGCGCTCGCGGCTGAGGTAGCAGAGGTAGTGAGTGTCCTTTCCTTGTTTTGTGGTGCAAATTTTAAGAGTGGAGAGTTTCCTTTTCAGGACGCAGAGAAAGAGAAAAAAATTAACGTGATCTGTTCACAGCTGGAGGCCAGTATCGACTTGCAGAATTCACGAAGCGAAGGAGCATCATTTATGAAGCATCTTGCTAAATTTGGACAGCTGGATGGTACATATGTTAGCAAGTTCGTTTCTCCAATGATGAATATAGATATTGACCACTTCTAGGCTGAATATGTGCTTTTCAGTGTTTATTTGGTGACAAAAATCATAAATGTCATAAATCTTGGTGGACAATTCTTTATGATGAACAAGTTTCTGGGACAGAATGATCCTTATTGGGGTGTTCATATACTGAGTGATATCCTTACTGGGACAGACTGGGAGCTTAGCGGTAAGTATTCTATCAAATTTTTGTGATGTTATTTCGTAGCTTCGATTTTCATTTGAGTTAGTATAACGTGACTTTTTTCTTCTTCTCAAATGCTTTCATCTGATTTGGTAAATGTTATTCTGTGAATATGGCGTAACATGAGCAACTCAGAAAATTAATCTTCGTAGCATTCCTGAAAGATCTTTTCTCGCATTTTTTGTACAGCTTCTCAATATAGAGATGTCACACATAGAAATTTGGTATTTGTTTGCTTTTTGTTTCCTCCAAATCCTTTCAAAGAAAATCCAACTTCCTTTTCTTGGCTCGAACATTCTAATGAATTTCTATTACTTAATGCTTTATCCGGAATAATTATAAAGGTGATTAAGAAGAAAGAGAAATCTTTCGATAAGTGAAGAAACGAAGGTTGTAGTGCAAATGCAGAGCTGCCTCTATAATTACTGTAACTCAAAATTGTGAAGGATACCAACGAGTGGCCCCATGCCATTTCCTCATAAATACCATATATGAAACTTTGCCGAAAGTTCTAGAGTTTTCAGTGGAAGAAAATAAGTGGTGCAAGACTCAAATAACAACCTAAATTTTTTATCTGACAGCATTAGCATTGGAAGTATCAAGCCTATTATGATCTCACTGCATTTCAATATATAAATATTGGGCTGGAAACTAAGTTTTGCAACTAGTTTCATAACTTCACTCTCTTTGGATATGGCGCACTCAAACTTTGGCATTATGTAGAAGGCAATGTGAGCTACAAGTGAGCACAAATTGTCTAAATTTTGACCACGAAATAGAAAAGTTACAGGCGTTTTTCGAAAACTAGTGAAATTTGAGAATTTTCGGGGTTTCAAGCTAAAATGAAGCCTTTGGCAGCCTAGACCATGCGCAATAATCCGCATTCGTCTACAAATTATTGCTGGAGGTTGACTCCTTTAGCCTAGTAAGGAAGAAACAAAATTTAGGGGCATGTCGAGATTTAGCGTTCCTCATAAAGTCGAACGAGTCGATGTACGCAAGAGTTGCTGGGGACGACCGTCAATAACTAAAGAGTACGAAGCTCAAATTCCGCCGCGACTTTACATAGTAAGTTTATTTGACCTGCTAAACGCGAACATCACATCCATTTGTTGAATCAACGCCTTTTTCCTTGTTTAAGGTGAGACCCCATATCGTACGCCCACAGTAATTCTAAAAAAAGCCCCTGTCACGCAATTTCACTATTGTTTTCGTGATCAGCATGTCGGATAACACCCCTATGCCAAGTTTCAGCCAAATCCGTCAAACTTTGAATTTTTCCCCTTCATACAATGCACCTACCGTAACCCTCACTGCGACATCGGAATTTGGTAGGACAGCAGGTGCGCTTGTAGCTTACGTAATAACCAACGCAGTGGAAAAATTTGAGTGCGCCATGTTGAGTGAAAGGGAAGTTATGAGACCAGTTGCAAAACTTAGTTCCCAACCTAATATGTTGCTGCCACTAGGTTGAGGTTTACCCAACCTTCTCTACTTCTCTTTATCGACTACTCACAATTACGATGCCATTTTAGGTAACTTCCCACGAATCGCAATGTGCGACTTCCAAGTAAGTCGGTCATATCATGAACTTCGAGTTTTTATATTCACTCTATCAGGTGCGTGTACTTGGTAATCTGCAACGATATTCTATACAATGTGTACTTTCACTAAACATGTTCAATGAGAAGATCTTTCTTTTCCTTTACTTCTGGTTTATTATTGTTGGCATAGCTACAGCGCTGGACACCGTTTTTCTAGTCTACTATACAAGATTTTCTCAGAAGAGATTGCACTTCATAACTAAGTAAGTGCCTAACGCTTTTTGTGGTTTTTAGAATATTTGGGATTTTGCAGATTTATGAAAGTAGCCGATGAAGAAGAGATGTTATTTGAAGATTTCTGCTTGTTTCACATAAACTCGGACACGATAGTTATTTTCAAGATGATAGGTAGCCACGCAAATGAAGTTATCGTCACTGATGTAGTTCAACAAATGTGGAGGAATTTCAGGTAAGAACACATAACTGAATTATTGGAAATTGTCCACATGAGTTATAAAATTGGATAAGTGGCTTGTTCATAGTTGCAAATGATTGAAACAATTTTTTAAATTTTTTTGAGAGTTCTAATTAGAAAATTAAATTTTGTAAGAAAATTTTCTTTGGGGCGTGATTACCGCCGCGCCCTCTTTTTCCAAAAATTCTGGCTATGGTCGGACCCGCAAAAACTTTGGGAAGCATCCCAGCAAAATTTTCGGAGTGCGTCGCTAACACCGCACACCTTTGAAAAATCTTGTCCCCCCTCCCCCGCCCTCCGGACGGAACTAAGACTGCCACTGCTCTGCTGTTATTTCGATTGATGTCACGGAAGCTTGAATCTTTCGTACTTAGTTCTCCCTGTAAAAAGGGAATTTCTTTTTAGTGTTTGTAACTGTATTAGTACATGATCAACAGCATAGCAAAGCTAGGATTTCTTTTTTGACACAAAAAATATTTTCTGCTTCGTACTTTTCTTATCTCAAACCTCCTACTAATCTTTGAATTATTCCTGGTAGATATAGACTTGCAAAAAAGATTGCAGCAGTAGCGAAATTTCAAGAGTAGGTCTTACAGAAATTGAATGAAGGGTATGTTGTCGACCAATTCTTCCAAAAAAATTTTTGGATTGCTTTCATATTTTTTTGTGGGTTAACAGCAAAAATGAAAAAAAAACAACGAAATCACGTCCACGCTTGCTTTATTAGTATTCGAAAATAATTCTGATTATCCGCAAGTAAAAAGAAATCACTTTCACAATTTTGTAGCTCATGAAGGGTACCTTAAGCGAACCAACCGATTCTTACGATTCATCCATGTTTTCTAACAACCTTCCATTGCTCTTTTTCATTCGTTGCTCTTTTTTATTCGCCTCTTTCTTCACTTTATTATCACCTCCCATATTTGTCAAGTCCAGCATATATACCAATTCTTACAATTTTCCTAGTCTCCACTTAGTAAAGAGCACAGATTTTTACCCTTGGATCATATGTTGATCCATACTATACAAGTATTAGGTTGTCCGGAAAATAATGTCGCATGGCATCCTACCGCGACAGAATGACCATAAAAAATAGCGAATGAGAATCATTTGATAGAGCAATGAAACCCCTACAAGATAGTTCACAAAACTATGTGGAAATCGTGCTCCACCTGAAGTTCGAATCCAAAATGTAAAAAATTTGAAATATCCGAAAAATCGTATCTCGGTTCATAGACGTCTTATGGCTCTCCAATTTGCACAGGCATGTACTCTATACACTGGACATTCACCTGCATAGTTTGTGGTATTTTTCCTTGGCTACAGTACGAGAAATAAAAATAGGTCAAAAGTGCGAATATGTAGCGTTTTTCGGGTTTTTTGCAAACAATTTGATTTTTCTCGAAAACTAGCTCTTGTCTAAAGCTGAAAATTCACGGTTATACTTCTAAAGGTTTGTGCTACAGAATCACCCATGTGAGAGAAGCTCAAGATTGTTTTGGCAAAAATGTGCCAGATTTCGTTTTCTCAATTTTCAGCCATGGAAAAATCGCGAAAATGTGCATACGTGTGTTTCGTATAGTGAGTCCATGCGTGAGCAAGTTAGGGGTTCCCAGGACGTTTCCAAACGGAGATACGATTCTTTTTCGTTTTTTTAGATCTTTAGTGCCTTGTGAAATTTGGCTCCAAACTCCATGCAAATCAAACCTGGCGCAAAGGCTCGAGCTTCATTTTGTAGAGCTTGTTTTGATCTATCGGTTCATACCCCATTTACTTACTTTCGTGCTCACCCTGCCACGATTTTGCATGTTAAAATAAAAAGCGACATAATTTTTCGGACAACCTAATATTTGTAAATTGCTACTTTCAGGAAGCGAAGACAATCGCGCGGAAATAATAATATGGCTTGTGATACAAAGAAACTTGAGGATCACAATGAGACAATGCCATTGGTATTCGCATAATATGTTATTAGCTCAAATGGAGATAAAATTTCATTTGGCAGTGGTTATACGTACAAAGTATGTGTAGAAGACTCATCGTCTTTTCTGACAAGAACATGAAAAGCGATAATCTGATTAATCTAAACTCACGTTGTGATGGTCAGTTAAAAATAGTGCAAAGGTGGAAAAGGAGGGAAAGAGATTACCTACTCTACTCTAGTATTTCACCATCTTCCACTTCTTCCTCATCAATAATCACCAGATCTGCATCGGATAAGCTATCTATATCTTCGTCATTGTTGCTTGCATCATTTGCGCAGTTCGACGAAGCGAAACACTCAGCTTTCGGACTTAGAATATTTCGATCAAGCGTATCTTCTTTGTTCCTTGCTGGGCTACGTCGTCGCTCTATGAATTTCTCAGTATTAATCGTAACAATGGCACAAAAAAGCTCACTAGAGTCAGGTGAGTCTGCAGCGCAATCCCTACCAGCCCTTTTTCGAGAAACCTCCTTGCTTCTGGATCGCCTATTCACTGTCAAAAAACTTGCTGCTTTTTTCACGGACGAAAAATACTAAGTAGGAGTTACCTCGATCAGAACGGTCATTTCGCTCTGTGATAGCCGTTTGCCTCCTAGTTGACAGTTCCCCTCTTTCTTTCGATCGAACGTCCCGATCAAAGTCGCGCTCCTTATGGATTCCATAAGAAGAATCATGTTTATGTGATGATTCTTGAAAATAAAGCCTTGGCTGAGACTCGATGAGCAGAAACTTGAACATACGTCGCAATGAGGAAGAGCTCCTGCTCCTATGACTGTGAGCCTCTTCATCATCGTTAGAACGTTTATCCCTCCTGGGCAACTCTGCAAACGAAGCAAGATGAAATCGGATTCATGCGCCACCTATGAGCTGCACATACCTTTAAGGTTGTGTGAAGGTCTGCGAGGATGAGATGTAGACGAAGAGCCTGGTTCTGACCGTAGATAACCATTTGAGTCTAGAAATGAAACGTTTCTAGCGATAAATACAGCTGTAGATGAACATTTTAGAATGATCGCATCTTGCGAAAACATACTCGCTTGTCCGATAGGTTTAAGAATGAAGAAAGATAAGATGTAAATAAAACATCAGATCTTCGAAGTTATCCACGCCCATAGATATGTCAAATGGCTTTATACCAGTGTCACCAAATGTTTTCATAATTTACATGAATAAATAGAATTGCGTCCTCCTTTTCCTTTTTTTCTAGGCTGCAATGTTTAGCTTAAAATCTTGTCCGAGACTAAGGCGGTCGCCATGTACGCGACGTGCGCGAGTACACGAGCTCTGATGAGGAAAGATCCAACACGCCGTCGCAGCCGCTTCATACGATAAACCGACCGTTTTAGCTAGGGACTAACTTTCTAAAGTCGAGGTTTATGCTCCGCTTAGCAATTGTGCTTGCGGTGTCAAGAAAATGCGGTAGAGCTCCCCAAGAACAAAAGCTACATTCTCCAATGCCGACCACTTGCGTGCGCAAAATGTCGGCATGGCTGGTGTAGCTATTTGTTGACGCGCCGACTTTATCGCGTTTTCTCGGCACCGCAAGCACACTAGCAAGGGAAACTGTAACATTGGGTGGTGTTTCTAGTTTACCCTATGAGTGTATCGATAAATAAACGAGCGGATAAGGAACAAAACGACAAAGACTGAAAGTGAGAACGTCGATACAAAGCAGAAACGGGAATAATCAGACTACCTTTGACCGTGCGATGACCATTCCTATTCCTCGTCGCCGAATGAATGGATCCACACTTCGTGGTACGTTGATCATGCCTCGATTTCCTTGATGACAGAGACTTTCGTATAACGCGGGATCTCTTCGTAATTTGTGTTTTCGGTTTTTCGCTGATTACGTTCCGAGCACGTTCAACGTCTCTATGCAGATTTTCTTTATTTGAGATCTCCTTTTTGTTGTGGTGTGCGCTTGAATTCTCCTGTGATTCACCACTGGTAGATGCCTTACAAAAACTCTGGGAACGCACGGGACAGTCTAAACGTTCAGTGTCACGCGGTTTCTGCGCCAAATTTACTTCCTCTTGTTCTGTTCTGCTTCTTATTTTTCGCGGAACCAGACCTCGATCTGATCCTGACCTTCCGTTGTCAGTATCTGCGACATCCTTTGCTGACCTCCGCTCACACGAGTGATTTTCTCGCAGATTTTGTGCTTCATTTGAGGAAGGACACTCTTCTTTATATGTACAATGAACTTCATGGACTTCAACGCTGGCACGATTATGAGACGAAGTAGAAGGAGTTTCGTGGTCTTTGCAATGGTTTGACACATTCCGAGTCTCATCTTCAACAAGCCTATTTTCGCTGATTGGTTGAGGGCGAGTGCTAATGACCATTCTCTCCTTATTCGCTTCAAGCCCTGTTCTCTTTCCGACTAGCTGAGGCAACAAGCTTCCGGTACTGAGTAAATCGTCTTGCTTTGACTCCGTTATCTGGAAACAGCAAAAACAATTATGGGATATACGAGGGTGCTTTGCAGGACAAAGGCGGTGACCGTTAGGCACGCGCTATACTCCAATTGATTCACTTCGCTATTGGTCAGATCAGTGAACTGACCAATAGCGAAGCAGATGTCCACTTGATCCATTTCAACTTCGCTACTAGTCAGTTCTTCACTGATTTGACCAATAGCGAAGTGGATGAAGTGCATCAAGCACTAGGTTGTGAAAAAATCGGCTACTGCGGCCTTTAACCACTCAAACTTTGCGACGCCCAAAGCGCAGTTATTAATAGTGTTGACCAGTTGTTCAGCACAAATTTGAAATAACGAAAAACTAACGGAAGGATAAATAGTGAACGTGACCTTTTGATATCTACAAGATACGGAATTTTTTTTTTGAAGAGTTGTTCCGCAAATAATGGATAGTCGTGATCAGGCTTTCAAGGTGGTTATGACATATGCCACATATCCAAAGCCACAGTCACCAAGTATCCTTTTCCCGTGAGAAATAAGAGCAGAAAAAGCTGTTCAACTAGAAGAACGTCGAGATTCATACAGTGCTGGCCATAGCTATAAAGCCACCCTAAATCACCGTAATTTGCTCTCTCTTGCTCATATTTATTTATTTACTAGCTGGCTTACCCGGCTCCGCCGTATCCGGACCAAACTTGGCACACATACACTTCGGGCCCCGGTGGGTGTCACAGTCCACTTTTCGTTATCGATCGATGTCGATTTTACCGATTTTTATCGACTTTTTTGCAGAGTTCACCTACAGGGCTAGGAGTTGGCACAGGGGGGAAGTGAGCATGGGGATTCCGAATACAATATTAGTTTTCAGAATTATCGATTACTTTTATTGATTTTATCGTTTTTTTGTAAATTTTGACATGCGAAGCTGGGATTTTGCACAGGGGGGGGGGGGTAATCGAGCATGCTGATTACGAACACAATATTAGTTTTCAGGATCGTCCATTACTTTTATCGATTTTATCGATTTTTTTGCAAAGTTTGAGCTACGGGGCTGGGAGTTTGCACAGGGGGGTAATCGAGCATGCAGATTACGAATACAATATTGGTTTTCGGGATTATCGATTACTTTTATCGATTTTATCGATTTTTTTTGCAAAGTTTAAGCTAGGGGGCTGGGAGTTGGCACAGGGGGGGGGGGGTAATCGAGCATGCTGATCATCCCCAAGGGGGGTGATCAGCATGCTCGATTACACCCCTGTGCCAAATTCCAGCCCCCTAGCTCAAATTTTGCAAAAAAATCGATAAAAGTAATCGATAATCCTGAAAACCAATATTGTATTCGGAATCCCCATGCTCGATTACCCCCCTGTGCCAACTCCCAGCCCCGTAGGTGAACTCAGCAAAAAAATCGATAAAAATCGATAAAATCGATATCGATCGATGACGAAAAGTAGCCTATGACACCCGCCGGGGCCCGAAATGTGTGTGTGCCAAGTTTGGTCCGGATCGGTTCAGAAATGGAATTTTCTATTCGGAACATACGTACATACATACATACAGACATACATACAGACATACATACAGACATACAGACATTCAGCTTTATATATAAGACTAGCTGGCTTACCCGGCTCCGCCGTATCCGGACCAAACTTGGCACACATACACTTCGGGCCCCGGCGGGTGTCACAGTCCACTTTTCGTTATCGATCGATGTCGATTTCACCGATTTTTATCGATTTTTTCGCAGAGTTCACCTACAGGGCTAGGAGTTGGCACAGGGGGGAAGTGAGCATGGGAATTCCGAATACAATATTAGTTTTCAGAATTATCGGTTACTTTTATTGATTTTCTCGATTTTTTGTAAATTTTGACATGCGAGGCTGAGATTTTGCACAGGGGGGTAATCGAGCATGCTGATTACGAACACAATATTAGTTTTCAGGATCGTCCATTACTTTTATCGATTTTATCGATTTTTTTGTAAAGTTTGACCTGCGGGGCTGGGAGTTTGCACAGGGGGTAATCGAGCATGGGGATTCCGAATACAATATTAGTTTTCAAGATCGTCCATTACTTTTATCGATTTTATCGATTTTTTGAAAATTTGAGCTAGGGGGCTGGAATTTGGCACAGGGGTGTAATCGAGCATGCTGATCACCCCCCTTGGGGATGATCAGCATGCTCGAATACCCCCCTGTGCCAACTCCCAGCCCCCTAGCTCCAACTTTGCAAAAAATCGATAAAATCGATAAAAGTAATCGATAATCCCGAAAACCAATATTATATTCGGAATCCCCATGCTCGATTACCCCCCTGTGCGAACTCCCAGCCTCGTAGCTCAAACTTTGCAAAAAATCGATAAAATCGATAAAAGTAATCGATAATCCTGAAAACCAATATTGTATTCGGAATCCCCATGCTCGATTACCCCCCTGTGCCAACTCCCAGCCCCGTAGCTCAAACTTTGCAAAAAAATCGATAAAATCGATAAAAGTAATCGATAATCCTGAAAACCAATATTGTATTCGGAATCCCCATGCTCGATTACCCCCCTGTGCCAACTCCCAGCCCCGTAGGTGAACTCAGCAAAAAAATCGATAAAAATCGATAAAATCGATATCGATCGATGACGAAAAGTAGCCTATGGCACCCGCCGGGGCCCGTAGTGTATGTGTGCCAAGTTTGGTCCGGATCGGTTCAGAAATGGAATTTTCTATTCGGAACATACGTACACACATACATACATACAGACAGACATACATACATACATACAAACAGACATTCAGCTTTATATATAAGATTTATTGATACACTGTTGTGCACAGTGCGCCAGTACAAGACACGAATGCAACGACAGACAAAGCAGTAATTAAACGAAATTGTGACATGCTCAACACCCATGCTCAACACCCCACATTTGTCTGAAAAACCACTATTCTGTGCGCAAACTAACGTCATACCGTTGACCAGAACGGCTCCTGATTTCATGGATTTTGGCCGGAAAAAAATTGAAAATTTGAAAAAAACGGGTTTCGAAGGCTGGTCACAGCTATAAAGCCACCTCTCATTTAAAATCAGTACGGCGTTTTTTGAACCTCGAATTTTTTGTACATATAGAACATCAAAACATAAAACATTTGTTACACTTGGAAGGGGTCGCCTTTCAAAAAGAAGATTCGTACTGCATTTTTTGCTCTAAAATGCATAATAGGTCACATCATTTGCAAAAAACTGCTTTTTCACTAAATTTTGAAGCACTTGTTTAACTCGGATGAAGGCCTTATGCTTTGGCGAGCCTTTGCAATGAATACGGCGAAAAGCGCTTGAGTTAACACTGCGTAGTCGCTGATATTGATAAACGAGCCCCAACCTCACCTCCAGGTAGACGAGTTTTCGAACTGCAGAAATTGAGTTCTAATGCCGGAAAAGCTCTGTCGCGTGCTCAGCACGTCGCTTGTATAACGACAGACTCGTGAGCATAGTTTGAACGTCATCGCAACTCTGAGAACTCTAGTTCCCCTTTGGACGCCTTTTTTCCAAAAATGAGTGGTGCACTTCGTCTGATCATGATCCACTCTAACCACCTCGATCGAGCGGAAAACCGCTCAGAAGTTCAAAATTCTTCTATTCCTGACAGTTTAGTAAGATTTGAATTGATGAGGAGTTCAAAGCAGTGGAATTTGAAGTCTTGTGAGATAGACTGCGCACAACCGAAATGCAGGCAAAGCGTTCTAACTTCATTGCGGCAAATAGGTCTTTGCAAAAAAAAAACCTGGCGGTTTCTGCATGAGTACGTCGCCATGCAGACAAGGTGTCAACTTCCAACCAAAAGTTTTCGCGTGTCAGAAATCTAATTTTGAGCCTCAGAAGCGCACTTACACCTCGGTAAGATGCGGCTCGTTTACCAAGATTAGCGACTACGCAATGTTGAGTTCAGCACTTTTCACCTCGTTCATTGCAAAGGCTAAGCAAATCCTAGGACGTTCATCCGAGTCAAACAAGTGCTTCAAAATTTAGTGAAAAAGCAGTTTTTTTTGCAAATAATGTGAGCTATTATGCAATTTAGAGCAAAAAATGCAGTACGAATCTTCTTTTTGAAAGGCGACTCCTTTCAAGTGTAAAAATGTTTCATATTTTGAAGTTGTATATGTACAAAAAATTTGAGATTCAAAAAACGTAGTACTGATCGAAAATGAGAGGTGGCTTTATAGCTGTGATCAGCCTTCGAAACCCGTTTTTTCAAATTTTCAATTTTTCTCCGGCCAAAATCCATGAAATCAGGAGCCGTTCTGGTTAATGGTATGACGTTAGTTTGCGCACAAAATAGTGGTTTTTCAGACAATTATGAGCAAGAGAGAGCAAATTACGGTGATTTTTAGGGTGGCTTTATAGCTATGGCCAGCACTGTATATCTTAAGTTGTGATTACTTACCACTGTTGGAAGTCCATCTGAGTTCACATCGAGATGATTCGCATTCAGCCAGTGATTCATTTGTTCTAGTGTGGTAAACTCTATTTCGAGACTCAGCCTCCCCCGGAAAACCTGAATCAACTTATCAAAAGAGTCTTGCTCAAAGTCAGATAATGGAGGAACAAAATAAGAGTAAATCCGCTGAAAAAATCCTAGAGAAAAAACCTGATGTATGATACCTTGATGTATTTTGGGAAAACTTTGTGTTCCTGCTGCGGCCTGAACAGGAACAGACAGGCTGGACACTCTATCGTACCACTTGACTCCAATCTCAAAATAGGTTATCAATGAGGATAACGGGGAATACACAAAAATAACACCACTTCTGTTTAAGCGCGATGTTCTCTTCTTTCAAAGTGTTGATCTCTTTCCGAGCGGTGATAATCAACTTTCGCATATTGTCGGCATATATTTTCAGCTTTTCCTCGTAGGTATCTTTATCCTAAATTCGATGCATTAGCAATTACGAATCAAGTCAAAAAAAAAGCAGAAAAAGTCAAAGTGACTACAGCCAAACGCTTACAACTGTAGTATTGTCCGTCGATGTACTGATCGTTCTGTAAGTCTTAACAGTTCCACCATTTCTATGTGGTAACCTTCTTGTTCGAGACTTTATAGGGCTGCCTGAAATGAAAACGGCGTGACGTTATCCAAAGCATTCTTTTATTCGGAATTAAATGAAGGAGTCTCAAGATTTGGAAGGTAGCAAGAAGTATGAGATGTCGAGACGCAGACTAATTAGATGGTCCAACAGTCCCCACGCCAACTGGGCGGTGCCCAGCAACTCCAGATGAGCTGTGCCTAACCGGGTGACCGGCGGTTTCCCTTCCCCTCTCATTCTGTTTATAAATATATAATAAAGATTCTAGTCATAAATGTTATGTTCATGTAAAGTAAGACAATCAGGGTGAAGGATTCAAGTCAGGAGAGTGCACCTCCTGAACTTGACAGAGAATCAAAAAATTCCTGATGAGGACAAAAGCGATAGGTGTAATTAGTTGCCACGACTAGCAAGTGGAGATTTGACTGTACCTAAGTCCATTGATGGTATTACCTTTTCTGGGAGTACGAGAACCAAGATCAGGGTTGAGCGTGAGGTCAGGCGCGCCCGACCTTGGGGATCGTCTGGGGGGACGACTGAGGGGGGTGGGGATCGTAATTAAGAAGCGAATCCGTTTAGCTGGGGAGATACTACGAAGGTGAAGGAAATGCGCTAGTCCGGTGGTTATCGCAATCACCAGTACTGAAGGAATGACGGCCGTAAACAGCATACTGATTGTTACAATCGAAATTTCAGCCAAATTCAAGTCTTCATCTTTTACCTTCACATATCATGAGGTCGCCAGGTAAGCTTGCTGTGTGAAATGGGTATTATTTCCGTAATCAGCATGTCAGATTACCTCTATGTGCTCTAAAGTCATTACCTACCGCATTTTCTAGTGTTTCGTAACGTCTAGAAAGCGTGATTAACTTGGCTTCAAAAGTGAAAATAGTCAGCTTTTTTATACTCATAACAAAGTAACGTTCCCTGCAAGTCTATGCTAGAAATCAGGCTTCATATCGCTTTCAAATGTAAAGTAAGAAGTGCTGCCAAATTTCGAACCGGCGCGTTCTTCCCATTAAGGGCTTTGACTCTACGGATTACTACGAGGCCGAAACAAGTCGAAACAAGCTCATACAGTATTGTGGAATCTACGAGAGTTGTTCTAGCGAATCACATAAAACTTGGATAGAAAAGCTTCCTCGAAAATAAAGTTAATGGGGTCAGGCGCAACCCCTCAAAAGGTCAGGCCGCCTAAGCTTTTGAGGGGTTGCGCCTGACCCTCTTAACTTGCCTTCAGCATTCAAAAATCGCCCCTTTTTGGTATGAGTATTGAGCGCAAAGCCTCTTCTTGCTATATTGAAAATTTGGAGCCAAACACTCCACCCCTGCAAAAACTATAACTCTTAAAAGAGGGCTATCCAAGTTCAAAACTTGCCGTCAAGCCGCGTGTCGTTGTGCAATCGCAGAAAGTTGGGCCTACGGCCAAAAAACAAGAACCTCCAGTGAAGACTGTTCTTCTTCAAAATATCATAGTCTAAGGTGTCCTGAAGGTTGTGCAAGTCCTGAAGGTGAAGCGGAAGGGTCATTTTAGGGGCTTTCACAGGGGGGGGGAGTCGTTTTTGAAGGACTTGTGCCTGACCTCTTGCTCAACCCTGACCAAGACAACTTTGCACTCACCGTCTGAACAAGCTTAAACTTGTTCATTCCTGGTTTCAAGTAGTAGATAATGGTGAATAGAGAATAGATTACATGTTTCAACTTGTTAAATACATGCCCAAGCTTGTTTAAACAAAGTGTGCAAAGCATTCTCGATTCTCTAAGACTTCAACAATCGCAGCTGCGACCACTCAGGTGACGCGGCGATAACGCCGTTGGATCACAGCGCATGAAATTTAGGCGAGACCCTTGCTTTCCAAAATATCATCAACTGCTGCAATAACTTGGTGATGAGCCATCTGACTAGCTATAACTTTTCGATAAATATTCTCTTTGCTCAGCGCGATTTCTTTAGAGATCGCATTGAGCAAAGCGAAAACTTTTAGCGGTATACCGCTAGGTTGCTTCACAAGAGAAACGGTGCAGCTCAAAACCGATGAATGAGAGGAGCTCTACTAACCCAACCAGAAAAATTAAAGAGAAATTTCAAAACCAACCTAATTCTTCGAAAATCCAGTGATCGTCATTTGGATCGCGACTGTCTTCATCGCAATGAGCCATACAATTCTAAAAGCATTGAAACATCAGCGAAAAATCAAGCAACACGAAGGAAAACGGGAAAAATGAATAATCTGTTTCGAAATTGTCACTTCGCGGAAATCCACGACATCGGGCGCAGTTGCGGTCTTCCACCTGTTTATTGTTTACGGCTTTTTCCTAAACGTCTGTATGACATTTCCAGTAACTATAGCAGTTTACACTGCTGTATATTCTGTTTGCAGGTTTCCTTGAAAAATGAGCAAGCCACAAAGAAGAAAGGGGAATGTTCAGGTATGCAAGTCTGTCATTTGTTTGGTTAGTGCTTTTTGTAATCGTTTGTGATGTTCTTCTTATATTATTGCACATGACTAGAGTAGCAAGCTTTGTCCCGGTAACATCTCAAACATAGTCATCTTCAAATTTGAGTCCTGTGGCGCAAATGCAGAAAGGTAGATCCGGTTATCGGCGTCATCTAAGGCTTATGTCTATCTACGCAGTTTGGCTCCTATTCCATTAGATTTTTGTTCTCCTCGAAATTAAACAAAGTACCTCTGTATTACCTATCTTACAAAAATAAAAAAGGACCGCCCGAAAAGGAGGGGGTTCGTTGCTCGCAGGTGTGTTTAACGCGTTGGCGACCGTGTGCATACGCGAGTATGCACGCCCTGACATCCGTCCAGCACTTTCGTGCATCATTTTTTCATGTGTAAACGAAAATTATTATGGTAACTTCTATACAGTAATAATACTGGTGGTTTGAATGTCATATAGAACGCGAGAGGATTGCTTTAACTGTACAGAAGTCTAAACCGCTGATAATCCATTTTAATGTGCTCCATTATGGCTCGGTCGTCAACCTGTTAAGCGCTCCTAGTAATTATCGTGCGTGTTTCGGCTGTTTGATGTTTAGGCATAGTTTACACTATGGGAACGGCCATAGGTTGTCGGTGTTGTCGATGTTGCCGGTGTTGTCGGTGTTGTCGATGTTGTCGGTGCTGTCGATGTTGTCGGTGTTGTCGGGGTTGCCGAGGTTGCCGGTCGTTGTAGGACCTCATGATAGCCTCAATGTTTCGCGCGCTCTCTAAACTATCTCTGACCCCCGACAACTCCGACAACACCGACAACACCGACAACCTTCCCTATAGCAAGAGAAAAGGGACCCCTGCGAAGAAAACAAGAGTTTTGCAGTTGCACCAGCTGAGCCGGAAGTTGGAATTGGCTATTAATTGTTATAGGCAGCCAGTAGCGCTCATGCTGCAGCGCTTCTCGAGAAATCGGGACAATCTGTTGGATTTGTCGGATTCGACACAGGATTCTCAAACGTCTTCGATGCCGCCGCTGCTGCTGCGGCCGGCTCTGTCGGTCGGGAGATTGACTCTGATGTGGTCCTTATATTCCGGAAGCTTTCGAAGAAAGACCCACAGACCAGAGAAAAGGTAGACTAATTCTTTTCTGCCTGAGCTTTTGCATATTTACGGGTTATTTTACTGTAACTAAACCGTGTCGAGACGAAGAGGATGCGATTGAGTGCATTTTATGGATTTCTTACTTGATTTACCTTCCCTTTCCAGGCGCTCCGTGAGCTTATCGCTTCAGTGAAAGAGAAAGATGCAGAGATGGTGGAACTATGTTACAACCACTTCGCAACCATCATGGACAAACTCGCAACGGTAAGTTTAGGAGCAGATCTCGCGTACGGATTTGTTTCATGAATATAAATCGATTTTCCATCTTTATTTGCTAAATGTTTTGTTTCTTTGAAAATGATTTTAGGATGGGAGCCCAACAGTAAGGATACTATCCTTACGAGCAGCTTCGTACTTCATATCAACTCTGAAGAAGGGCGCAGAGAAACAGCTCAAAGTTGTAAGTTTTTCGAGTTTTTCGCTTCCCCTTTTCAAACTTATGTTAGGTGGTATAGTCATATTTACTCTATTTCATTTGTCATAAGTGATTCATATTTCATTTGTGTCTTACCTTTGACTCAATTTCCTAATCTGGTTAATAGATCATTTGTGTTTAATTTTTGATGTGCATTTTCAGGATTTGAATAAAGCTGTGCAAATAGGATACTTTATCTGGATGTTCAGATAATGCCCTTCATACTGTTTGGCACATGTGACTCAAGTCTCTCCGTTGCTAATCAGGCCGAAGCGGCACTTTCCGAAAACTTTCCTGGGGAAAAGTCACAACAAGCCTCCTCTATCTTCGCTGTCACCACTGCAAAAATTGCCGTTGACATCATTGCTGAACGACATAGTTTGTTACATGCCCAAAAGTGAGTGTAGCTTTTTTATATTGGTAGACTGGGAGGGGATGGTAGATTTGATACTATCACGTTTGTTGATCAGATATGATAATGAAGATTCACCTGAGCAACGAGTCTCGCGTCTGACTACTCAGTGCTTGCTGACACTTGCTCGATTGGCACCACTGGCATCCTCTAATCCCCATTTTAATGAAGTTTTGGAGAAACTTTTCAAAGATTCTCATGTCATCAAAAAACTAGTGAAAAGCAACGCAACGGTCAGTTTTGCCCTTTCATACGCCTTTTTTATTACAGATAGTTCTGTGTACAGGTAAAATCTGCTCTTCTTGGCGTTTGCTTGAAAATGCCTGATTGTGTAGCGATTTTCCTTGATACTCCTTTGGCTGCATGGATCATTTCGAATCTTGATTCACCGGATGCTGCAGTGGCTACGCGAGCGTTTGAGGCATTCATCCGATTAGGATCTGACGAACGGTACGTCATTTACTAATTTTTCATCCCTTATCTCCCAAAGGTTCTTGCAGATTTTTCGAGAAATTCAATATACAAAAAGCTGTGGTCCCTAAGATACTATCAGTCATCAGGAGAAAGGAAGTGTGAGTGTGTTATTTTTGGCTTCTTAGAATGTCTATTATTCCTGGAAATATCTCCGTTCATAACTTCTAAGCATCTAGTTACTTTCATTATGCTGTCTATCATCACCTGCTGAAATGCAGAAAATATCAGCTTTTACTAATCTTGCTACTTGAAAAAATCTGAGTGTCTTCCTTTAGGCACTGGCGACACGTTTCCCACTTTTTCCTTTCTTCTTATGCCCTTCTTGTGCCTCGAGTTAGCGATCAACTCCACTTCGTAACCTCGTTCTTGGAGTCGTTCATGGACAAACTGCCATTCGAGAGCGGAGGAACAATGCAGTTCTGGGCAAAGTCTTTTGCTGAGTGCATGAAATACACCTTTTCCAAGGAAGAGTTGATCGCGCAATGTCCAAAAAACAAGCTGATTGAGCTGGTGAGGTAAATTGACCTTCTCCTGCGATAAGCATGTCATTTTGCAGATCGTACAAAGTGTGGATTTGGTATGTAATGAATCACGCGAGTGCCAGGAGCCAATTGTTTCATTGATATCCTGGGTTTTGGATAAGAATGTGCTATCAGACTCGGATGTCTGTTCCTTGCTTGACTCATTGCAGCTGAATCTGATAAACAAGGTTTGTACAAAAATCTTTGATTACGAAAGCCCCATATGTTTTTTTTGTAATTTAGCGCCCGCAAAGCGATGGATTGTGCTCATCATTAATAGCTGGTGCTTCTTGGCATCTACGGACCATTCATGCGGCATTTTTACGTGTCCCGCCACTACACCCGGAATTTGTTACACCTCTGTTGACGTGCTCTGATGATTACTTAAACTACATAGATAAGGTACATGGCTCCTAAATTGCAGAGTCGTTTGCACCAGCGGGCGACCGCGTCGCGCCCGGGCATTTTGCCGGCGTCGGCGCCATCGATCGAGGCGGCGCTATTGATGCCCGGGCGCGACGCGGTCGCGCGACCGCTGGTGCAAACGACTCTGCAATTTAGGAGCCCTGTAAAGAAGTTCCGATCAGTTTTTATATTTTTTGGTTTTCACATTTTTTGTTGATTCTCTTCCATTTTCGACATAATTATTTCTAGAATATTGATGTCATTCCACTGCTCAGCAAAGAGTCGCAAATCTCTCCTACCTCCGCCAAGGTTGTCTTACGAATACTTCGGAGTAATCCTGCTTGTTTCAAAAATCTAGACGTAAGTCACCGTTGTCCTTCAATGACATATTCTACTAATCTTGAAAGTTAAGCTTTCAACTGCTAATTTTACACCATTGCTGCTTCCTGAGCTATCGCCCAACGATTGGCCTTTGATCTTGCAATCCTTAGGCACTCAACTGATCCCTTGCTTGAAGAAGGTTTTTCTGCAATGGAGTAAGACTGATGAACTGGAACCTGCAAAGAAAGTACTGGAGAGATTGCAGGTCTGGTCAACATATATGTCTTTCTCGCTTCTGCTGTCGGTTACTTAATTTTTTGTGAGGACTTATGACGACCTCATACATCGTATGACCTTGTATGAACATCTTCCAGGTTTCAGAGCGCGGAGAAGTGCTGTCTGCGTTTTTGGAATCAAAACATCTCCCTACATATTTTATCTCAGAATTGGCAAAATCAGTAGAGGTATGGTCCCATCTCTTTCTAAACTTGTGTTATTCCGATTTTGTAAATTTGCTTTGTATATTCCAGCTTCCTGAAGAACTGACAGCTGATCTTTCTCGTTTACTATTCCGTTCCTTGTTCTTTTCCGAGGTGTCAGATGATGGTAAGCGCACTCCACCTTGATGTCGAAGACCCACTTTTCACACTTAGAAATGGACTCTATATTGGGAACTCTTGCGAAGTTTCCGCCTTGTGAGCTACTTTTGAGAAGTATGCTGACAGCATATGTGGAAGAAGTGACTGATGAGGAGCTCCCGCGGCGATTTTCGGTTGAAAGGTAGACATAATTGTACTCTTGATAAGCAGTGCTTTTAACAAATTTTCAGGCTGCGACGGATAGGTATAATCTGTTCGCAACTGATTTACACTGATCGGAGATACTTGCTTTTACTTCCTACCCAAGAAAATCTGCTGGAACTTTTGGGCGTTTTTGATGCTTTTGTGAGTGCTTTTTTTTGTCTCGTCCTTCACTTTTATTTTTGACCACTTATACCTTATAGTCATACAAGGAACAAAGATGATTTATTATGCAAACCATCCAGGTATTTCAAATGTTCTTCTATGGTTTCTTTTAGGTACAAAGTGATGTTGTTGCAAAACATGGACTATTTGCTGACACATTGTCTGATTCGAGTGAAATACGAGTCCCCACTGCGGAAGATCAATTTCTGCGCTTTATGGAGAATTCAGCTCGGAAAGCCATGATTTACCTTACTATAGATTGTGAAGGTTGGTCTCGTCTTAGCTCACAAACTACGAGTTTTTTTTGATTGTGACATGTACTTATAGATAAAGCTCACGATATCTCCTTGGCTTACGCTGCAGCTGTAGTGCCAGTGGTGGATTTGCTTTACGAAACTCGATGGGAGTGCTCACCGCGTTCAGAAGTTTTCACAGATTGCATTAAGCTTTGGGAAGACGTGTTCCAGGTATTAAATAATTGGTACCATGTGTACTGCTCGTATTTTTTTTGCATTTCCAGAGAACAGCCCTTGCAACGCACAGAGCCATCGCTGCTTTCACTCACCTACCCACAGCTCCTTCCTCAGCTCAGTTAGCGCTGCGTGTGCTTTGTGAGAATGGTGCTTTGTGGCAGAAAGGCAAAACTGAAGATAGAAATATCGCATGGTATTGGGCTACATCAAGCGATTGCTCAGGAATGAAGTTGGAAACAGTGGAGAGATGGATAAGCAGGTAGATTACGGTATGACATTTTTGTCCTGTCATTTTTGGCATTGAGCAGTTTAGGTTCCATGCAGAGACCCCTCTTGAATTTTTGGCACATCTCCATGACTACATACAGAAGAATGCGCCGGAATGGCAGGACACGATGTTCAGTGGAAGGTGAGGCGTTTTTTTTTTTTAAATTCGGAACAATTTGTTTTTCTTGATTTGCGTGTACTTTAGCGCGCTCGATGCTCCTTCCTACCATATAAGTTTGCTTTGTCTGCATGCCGCCATCAGTGTCTTTGGCGATATAAGCTTGCTTTCGTCGCTTACACCAGAATTACTTGATTTTATTATGTGTGGTGTGGTCACTGCCATGGATGTGGGTTCTTTTGGCAATCTTAGGTCTTGAAGCTGTTCAAAGTAGTTACTAGAGCTGTGATGAAGCCATTGGAACAAAAATCACGAGCAACCATAAGGTGGAGACACTTGCTGGTTTGTCCCTGAAAATGTTCGAAAGATGTGCAAAAACTGCACTGGAAAAATTTTGCAACTCGTTGGATACGGTAGGTCTACAGGTGCAAAAGTTTATCTTCAAATGTTTTTTATATAGGAATGGCCAAATTTCTTCTTGCCAACAATGTCAAGGATCATTGTACGGTGGTTCACGCTTCTTGATGTCGGTAAGTATGACCATAAAACCTTTTCGCGTTTGTTTTAGTCGACGTTCTTTTAGATGCAAAACCAACATTTTTTGTGCGCGCGCTGGTAAAAGCTTTGCTTTATCTCAGTGAGCTGCCAGATGATTTGTCGCTCAAGAAGAAGCTAAGTCCAGAACTGGATAGATTTGAGTGAGTTTTCCTGTTTTTGTGAATATGGCTCAGTAGTATGGTTCCTAGATATGATGCTATGCACCAAACACTAATAATCCAAGCAGAAGATCTTGTTCTTTCGGAAAATCCATTCATCCAGTTCGCAGCTTTGCATATGTTCAAAGTGTGAGTTATGCTTTATTTTAGCAGTACCGTAGTTTCACTTCACGAAATTTTAGGTTGACCCCCATAATGTATAGGCAAGAGAATGAGCAGTGGATGGAAGAGGAAAAGGTAATGATTAACGACGAGTTATGAAAATGCAGCGTGCAATAGTCCCATTTAGGTTAGCGCATCGGGTCCGCGACATCTGGTAGTACCTGACACGCTGTCGAAACTAATTGATGGTACAACCGGCTGGCCTGCAATAATGGCATTTGATGCGGCACTTGTGCCCCTTGCTGTAAGTGAAACCATAAATTACATGTTTCAAGGGAACGTACCATAACCAAACCATCAGATGGCGCAAAGAAGAATTAACACATTGACGACAAGGCCGATTACTACTGCCATTTCGGACAGGAGCCTTTTTTGCTCTTCCAAACTACGACCCACCCGTGGGTCGTATTGTCCGAAATGGTAGTCTTTTTGTAAGAAATTCAAAACATGTCTCTGGGAATATCCCCACAAGGGTTATCGAAGGTGCTGATTATTAAAATATGATTTGTTTCAGTTTTTGGCAGTTTACGGTAAGATTACGGTAGTCACTCTGTGCGAACCCAACATCACGGATTTTCGTGAAAAGCTGTGTTTTGGGGTTATTTCACATGCTGATCACGATTATAGTGTCCACTTTGTTCACTACTTTCCCTCAGTGGGACTACGGTAGCAGTACGGTAGAATTTTTTTAAGAATCAAGAATCTGATGTAAGAAGGCGGTATTGGAACTTGAGACTATCATTTTCGTAATCAGCATGCTAAAAAACCTATATATGCAAGGTTTGAGCTCCCTGGGATGAACAATGCGAAAAATCAATAAAATCGATAATTTTTGATGGGCTGACATCAGTCTCATGCTCTCCCTGTATTTCTTGTGCATGTAAACTTGAATTGTCAAAAACAGCACCACTCTGCGAGAAATTCGAGCTAAAATCTGTGCCTTACCTCTATCTACGGTATACCTACCGTAACATTACATTACAGTATCCCGGACCCGGACCACTCCGGCTAGAGCTTCGCCAAGGCATCCCCAATCATGTGCCAGAATACCGTAGAATTCCATCGCATGCTGGCAAAGTTAGAGCTTTCGAAAACTTACGACCCACCGGTGGGTCGTATTGTCCGAAATGGCAGTACACGTAAGACCCACTGGTGGGTCGTATTGTCGTCAATGTGTTAAATAATGTGCGCTTCAGCATTCGCTTGTGTATATCGCCATTTTAAACAAATGCCATTCCTTTCGATATCAATCTCTCCGCTGTTTATAACATCCAAATACGACGGTATAATTTTAAGATGTCTGAAAGTTAGTTATTTATGCAGTTCTCCAAATTTTTCATTGCAGTAGATTTTCTTGATTGAGTTTGTTTCGAAGAGGAAAAAATTTAGAGATTTTCTCAGCTAGAAATTGATGTGGATGTGTCGCGGAGTTCCGCATGAATAGTTATTCAATTTTATGCCGACTGAATTTTCAGAAACGCAAATTTTGAGAATTATCATTGTTTTGTTTTTCGGTTCGCCCAGCTTTTTCTTGGCTGCTTTAGAATTTTGATGAAAAGCTGTCGCCCACCTTTCGAATTTTTTTTGCAAACTAGAAAATAGAAAATTTGAAAATCTTGAATTAGATTGTATCTTTGCAATGTGTCAACTTCAAATTCTATAACTGCAATGACCACTATTTCTTTCTTGAAATGATGTAAATCAACAATCGCACATCGAAGGAAGTTAGATTTATCAACAAAATGGCAAAACTTTTGCGTATCCCAAAAGTGTAGCGTGTAGTGATGTAGCAAAAACAGACTCATTCTTTTTAGATAAGCATATCCTCGGACGAAGAACGTGTTGCGTATTGTGATGCTTTGCCACATGCTGTATCTACGATCTTGCCACAAATCTTAGCTCGTTGTCCAGAAGATTTGCGTGAGTCATGCATTGTTTTTTTCTAGATCCTCAGAACAAGTGTCCTTCAGCATTTCAGCCTTAAAGGTGTATTTTAGCATCATCAAAGGAACGCGAATACTTCATCTCTGAGTGTTTTCCCTTCTCTGTCGATGTATACGAAAGATATGCAGCGAATCTACTATACAGGTCATTTAAGTGCTCTGCAATTTTTAATTTTTTTTCGACTATTTTCTTCAGAACACTTGGGACCTTGCCAGCTGTGGTGCGTAATTGGTACGCAGGGTTACCGAATGCTGCAACACAGATAGTTAGCAAGTGGGTATTTGTTACCGCCGGTGGCGGATGCAAGCAGAAGGGTTTTTCAAGTTTTTAAAAATCTCAAAGCTTTGCCACGCCCCTTTTTGGCAATTGAAAATCTTGGAAAATTTGCCGAGAAAGTTTTGTGTTTTGGCTCAGAAAACCATCTTCACAACTACTGCTTACCTCTCGTCCGCTCCCGCTTATTCAGCCTAATCGACTTTCATTCAGGTATGTGCGATATTATGTTAGCAAACTTTTGGTGGAAGCTGAGCTCAATAAGGTCAAATCAGCCAATAAAAGCCATTTGAAGGCCGACAAGTCGCTCAAGGTATCCATTGCTTCGTTTTGAGTTGGACGGCGTGAAATCTCTAGCTTCGTTATTGTCTCAATCGTTATAGATTCGTGTAGTTCCCGTATCGGGAGAAGTCATTGCTGAATATAAGGTAGAAGAGACTACAATGCGATTGTCAATAGTGATGCCACCTGACTGGCCTCTCTCCGTGCCAACCATACAGATTGACAAGGCAATAGTACCGTCTGAGAAAGCGAAGAAATGGTTGCTCCAGCTGACAGCTTACTTATTCCACCAGGTTAGCGACGACTTATCTGGATTGTACTAGTCTGAATGTGATTTTCAGAATGGCTCTACGGTAGAAGGAATAATAATGTGGCGGAAGAATGTGGATCGTGATGTGGAAGGCGCCGAAGCATGCACGATATGTATGATGACGATCCACTCTACGAACCATCAGCTCCCCAAGGTTAGTGTTACAAATCGCCAAAATCCAAGATGATCGCATCATTTTCAGGTCAAATGCCGGCAATGCAAGAACAAGTTCCACTCAAATTGTTTGGTAAGCTCTGTGCTTAAAGCAGCTTACTTCATCGATAAACAAAAATATTTTCCCAGTACAAGTGGTTTGAGTCCAGCAGTCAATCCAGCTGTCCTTTGTGCAGAGCGAACTTCACCTAAAGCTGACCTTTCCTCGTTGGATGCGTCAGAACTTGCTCTTCTTGTACTTGTGATAACTTTAAATTGGTATTAGTAACGGTTATGACCTCGGAAGTGTGATTTTGGATAGATAAAGAGCGTATAATAAAACGGAATATATCCTTTGTCCCAAAATATAGTGTCTACGCAGATGTCGGGTTCCAATTTTTTCCAGTCAGACAATCAAAGGCGCTCAGCCGGCCCCACCAAAAGCGCCCGAGCAAGCCGCCTTTGCCTTATTGCCTTACTCTCAGACAATCGCCGGGGCAGGCGGTCCGCAAACTCGCGTTTTTTTGCAGGCGGTCGGCAGAATTTTGGGGCGTGGCCGAACCTTCAGCGGGCGGCACTTCCTTTACTGTCTAATGTTCTGCCAGCGGGCAGCAACACAGAATTTTCTGCAGGCGCACGTCAAATAATCTGTTTCAGCGAGCGGTCGATTTTCAGCTGGCGCTCGGACGGTTTTTAAGCAGTTTCGGGCGTACGCCGAGCAAAGGTGAGACTCTACATGGCAGAGGTGTCATCGATGGTTTAATTACTCAAGTTTGAGGTACTTCCGCTCAGCGGAAAGTACCTGCTCAGATAATCGCCGGGGGCAGGCGGTCCGCAAACTCGCGCTTTTCTGCAGGCGGTCAGCAGGATTTCGGGGCGTGGCCAAATCTTCAGCGGGCGGTATTTGCGTTTTCTGCAAGCGGGCATCAACACAGAATTTTCTGCAAGCGCTCGTCAAACAATCTCTTTCAGCGAGCGCTGGCCAAACTTTCAGCAGGCGCTCAGACTCTTTTTACGCAGTTTCGGGCGTACGCCGAGAAAAGATGAGACTCTATGTGGCAGAGGTACCATCGATGGTTTTATTACCCAAGTTTGGGGTACTTTCTTTCAGCGGAAAGTACCTGAAGGCTGTGCGGTCCTTCAAAAAGGACCGTGCGGCTCTCAATAATTTTGCATGTTCTCGCGGAAAATCCGCGAGAATGCGGCCACTGTGCCGCAACTTATGTATAGAAAAACCGCGATAGATCTTCGAGCGTTCGTCTAAAAATTGGCCAAAATTATTCCAAATTTCTGCAAGCGGACCACAAAAAATCAGCGAACTATTTTTCCGGTGCCCGCTTGCTCAAAATTCGCATGGCCGCTTGCCCCCGGCGATTATCTGAGTGGGGGCTGCGCGGTCCTACACAAAGGACCGTGCGGCCCCCGAAAATCTTGCATGTTCTCTCGGAAAGTCCGCGAGAATGCGGCCACTGCGCCGCAACTAATCTGTAAGGAAACCGCGATTGTTCTCTAAGCATTCGTCTAAAATTTCGCTAAAATTCTTCCAAATATCTGCAAGCGGACCGCAAGAAATCAGCGAACTATTTTTTCGGTGCCCACTTGCCCAAAAATCGCATGGCCGCCTGTCTCCGGCGATTATCTGGGCTGTCGCTTCCCGCTGAGAACTTTGCTAGAACTGGCAGCGAGCGGGCCGCTATAAAGTTTTCAGCGCGAAGCGAAAGTGGCGGCGATAATGTTACAATCCAAATACAGTGACCAGAGTAAAGGGCCAGACATACTTCACGCGATTTGGCAATATTCCAACTGTCCATGACTAACTGCAAGCACATTTTAAATGTACAGGAGGTAAGGCATTTTATCAATCCAAGCAAGTTATACACATTATGCATGTCCGGTCTGCTAGTGTTGGATCTGAAGACTTTTGGCGAATTGCCAAATCGCGTCGCGACTGAAATCGCGTGAAGTATGCCCGGCCCTTGAGAGTGGAGAGTGGATTGTTCGTTCAAGGAACATCCGTTAGGCCCCGGACAGACTTCACGCGACTCAATCGTCGCGATCTAATCGCCAAGATTTCCATTCATTTTCATTTCACATTCAAAAATTTCGGGCTGGAAAAGTATCACAACCGAATGGAAGTTGTTCGGCATGGAATGATGTTGTAACAGTTGTCTCGTCGCGATTTAGTCGCGACGATCAAATCGCGTAAAGTCTGCCCGGGGCCTTACAACATCATTCCATGCCGATCAACTTGTATTCGGTTGTGATACTTTTCCAGCCCGACATTTTTGAATGTGAAATGAAAATGAATGGAAATCTTGGCGATTAGATCGCGACGATTAAGTCGCGTGAAGTCTGACCGGGGCCTTAGGGGGTTATCGAACGAAGATAGACAAGGCCTGCAGCGGTAGCAAGGAGGCAGCTTTGACGGGATCTCGTAGGATTTTCTAATCTTCGCGTTTCAGAAGTCTTCTCTCAGCAATTTCAACGAAGCTTTGGTGAGCCCTTCTGGCTATAAAATGGCGACGTCCAAATGCTTGATAATATGTTTCCTGCAGAAATCCTTGAAATAGCTGGAAGGCGAGTTGGGCGCCGTTCTCAAACGAGCATTTATTTGAAATTCGAATCCGCTGATAAACTACTAGGTTCTCGCGCAGTTGACAGGTGACGCAAATTACTTCATTGCTTTGATCTTGAACCGGCCGCAAAGGGCGTTAGCGACGATAAATTAGGGTTGGTTCAGACTTCGCGTCGGCGTCCTATCTAGTGTACGTCGCGTTTTTTGCATGCGCGTTGTACGGCGACTCTAGCCCAAGCCTTATATGGGGTTTTAGAGCGGTCCAGCGAAGTCGATATGCAAACTTTCTAGCGGGCAAATGGCGATCGACACTGTGGCCGGTTCGGGTTTTTATTTGGCGGTAAGCTGGCAATTCTGGCAACATTCTGCAGCCTTCTTAACGTCTTCTAAAATTGTCTGGAGTTAGAGATGTAGATAGTCTCTGTTTGCTACGCTTTGCAAGCTACATTACTCGTAGACTCACAAATTTATTTCAGCCATAACAACTGCGCAAACTATTCACACGTCAGCTGCGCCAGATGGCTTTGAATGCGTTTCAGGCAGGGTTTCACTGGCGCATTGCCAGGCAGGTGGCTTGTAGACGGTTCCGCGATTAGCTTATCATTTTTTTCTTTTATGCATTCGCAAGTAAGCAAAATTCCCACAAGTTATTGTTGTCTTTCAACTCATTTTTTGTCAGCGACAGTTTCTGTCATTTGATTGGCAATTTGTCATATTTGTTTATTTTTACTTGTTCCATTGTTTGTTATATATAGTACTTAAGTTTAAGCTGTAAAAATCTTACGTGGTACTGGTATTTCGAGGTGAGTGGTGTGAGAAGTTGGATGTAGGTTCTAACCAGTGGCGATCCCAGGATTTCCGTTCGGAAGGGCGGTATTACCAGATGAAGCGAAACTTCAAAAAATTTTTGGGGTGCTTCCCAAATTTTTCGTGGCCTCATGATTTCAAAATTCTAGAAAAGGGGGCGTTGATGGCCACGCCGCCGAAAAGATTTTCACAAGGTCAAACTAGGTTTTTGAAGTTGTTAAAAATTATGTCAATTTTTTAGAAGTATAAAGAAGCCATTGGCACATTTTTATAACTCACGTCGGTAACTTTCAAAAATTTAGCGAACCATTCTCGGAAAGGGGGAGGAAGAGGAAAGGCCCCCCCCCGCCCCCTCTCGATCCGTCACTGGTGACTATTATGTAATTGGGCCTTGAACATGCTAACATAGGTCTCTTTTTCCATAGGTGGGATCCAATGCACAGGGTGTTATATCTAACCTTCGCAAAACAATTTAAAAACTCAGTAAGAAACGTTTTTATTGTGCCAAGTTAATTTTAACTCCTACTTTTTGCTGTAGAGCTAATAATTCTTGATGTGGCCAAATGGCGTGAGCTCTGGTCCAAATTAATTTCAGCTAGGCATGTGGCAAGGTCCTAACCTTGCTTGCTTGATCATTGTGCTCTCATTTCCAAACACTGCAATCGACCGCTCACGCAAGTCTCTTTTGAATGAAGTAACAAATCTTCAGATTGATCAAAGTAGCTGCATATCAAAACCTATAAAAGGCTTTGAATTAAGAGTACGTTTCATTTGCATAGAACTCTACCTACATATACGGTCACTATGATCGATGAAGCTGCGGCTGTCCGCTTTCCAGTGGGCAAACGGTACGGCCTTCACTGTATCGACGTCTATGGTTCCTGGCGGTTCAAGCAAAGCCATTGGAGGCTTGGTCTATCGCATGAAGAAGACAGGCACTGATGTTGCTGATTCTCTACTCTCTGGCGGATGCTCGTGCCCATATGTGGCGGCATGCGCGTCCGGTAATCGGTGCCAGACTGTTGGGTTCGCACTCCGCACGATAGATTCATCAACCTTCGCCCGAAACTAGACTTTATTCAATCCAACTACCATAATCACTCGCCGCACATACATCTGCGCCCCTAAAATTCTCGTTTTCGTCGATCTTTCTTCTCCTACATGTATCCTTTCAGCTTTGGACCATGGGTTATACTCAAAAAGATAGATGAAGGCGGCTTTGGTCAAGTTTATAAGGTAATTGAAGCTAAAGAAACCATGTAAGTACTGAGTGAAACTAAGCATTTTTAGGTTGAAAACGTAGCAACAAAAAAGGTAGCAGCGCTGAAAGCCGAATCCAACGACATAGAAGGCGGCTCGGCGTTGAAACTCGAGGTCAGTACAATCGATATGCACTTTCTGCATGGTGAAGAGAAAAAAAAATCTTCAGATGACCGTAATCCGCGCAATCACGGCCGATGGTGATAAACCACATATTCCACTAGTGTTTCATGCCGCAAAACATAGACGATTTTGTTACATGATTATGACATTATTAGGAGAAAATCTTAAAGAACTTAAGGTACAAGATTTTCCAGAATGAAGCTTTAGCTGAAGCAAAACTAGAGCATTGCAGTTAAATTGTCCAAAGGAGTATATGACAGCAAAAACATGGACACGAATAGCTATACAATGTCTATACAGGTGAGGATGACCTTTGATATACGCGTCGCTACCCAGCTGAGCCGCAACGCATGGCTGCGCGAACGTGGTATGACAGAAGAATTCCAGTGTTAAACTTGTTCACGACTATGGATTTGTTCATCGAGATATAAAACCGAATAATTTTGTTATGGGATATCGGGAAGACTACGAGCGTGCACGTTTAGTTCATATTCTCGATTTTGGGCTGTCTCGTTCATATGCTATACAATCGGTAAGCGGATCTTTGATGGGTAAATGCGCGCGTCCAATCATGACACGAGGGCGTGGCACTCAACCAATCATAACGTTTACCAAAAAATGTACGGTACGAGCCAGAAACTTATGCCACTGATAACCTATTCCGCACATTCTTGAGTCGCGAAAGCTCCTGGAATGTCATCAAGGGATCAAAGCGGACGCTTTGCATATAAGAATGTTTGCAGAAAGATGGAACGTGGGTAGCAAGGCGGGCTCGAGGAACAGCTGAATTTCGTGGGACTTTGCGGTACTGCTCACCAAACGTACATGAAAAGAAGGAACAGGTAAAGCTGTCCTACAAATACTTTGGTGTGGGAAAGAACCAAACTCCAGGGTAGAAAAGATGATCTTTGGTCGCTTTACTATGTATTTATCGAGCTTCATTGCGGACTTCCGTGGCAAACGTTACGAGATAAGCAAAAAGTAAGTGGAAAATAGTTTTCTGATGATCAAAATAAATCCGAAGCATTGTAGGTGGAACTGATGAAGATGCATATGGAAGATAAAGATCTTGTCTTAAATTTTCCAGGTACCCCAATTCGAATTACTTGAACGGTGCTAGCCGCGTTCCTGCGTGATTGCGTTTCCTTCCACATAATTTCAAAGACGCGCCGCGCAGTGAAACGCACTGTTGCCTCTAACAGAATAATCAGCAATCAAAAATTTACTCGTCAATTCTCTATGTTTCAGTTGAGCTGCATGGTGTTATACCACATCTACGAACGCTGGATTACTATCAGCGCCCCGATTATTCGTGCGTTTTATTTTAATGAACATTGAATAGCTGCTATAAGAAAGTTCCAGGATGTTTTATGAAGGGTTGGTGGCCGTCATGAAACGAGTAGGTGCAAAAGCTTCAGACCCGTATGACTGGGAAACACCAGAGTCGGTCAGGCGAATAGTACGTGCAGTAACTGTTCCCTTCTGTTGGGCGCTAATTTTTTGTTTGATTTTTTCTTTCCAGGAAAAACATCTCAAAAAACCTTATGCCTGGGAAAATGCAGCAGAATTCTTCAAAAGTGATCCAATAAAAGTAAATTGCGCTCCACCACCAAAACCATCGCGTAGACGCATTGTATGTGAAAATTATCTTCCTGAATGTTATTCAAAATTCACATGGATTTATTGTAGACAAAGGCTCCTGAACGCTTCCCTTACAAAGAAACTTCTGAGCAAACGACAGGGACAGGCACCACGGCTAGTACGGATGTCGAGCGACGGGATGTGCCATCGGAGCTGACGATGACAGATGTTGATAAAAGATTGGCTGCATTTGGTGTCGTACGGAAGTCACCGACAGCCGCAATGGAAAAACTTTTGGAGCAGATAACAAAGAGGAAAGCTATAGAAGCTTTGAAGGCTATGACACCTGTAATGAAAAGTAAAGAGGTAGTGAAAATCAGGACACCTTTACCGCAAAGTAAGGAAGAGGTGCAGAAGGGCAGCAATACACTAACGCCTCTGTCAAAAAGTGTTGAGGATCTTCTTGCTGAAGAGGTGCTGAAGAGAAAAGAGAAAAAGAAAAAAGTCGACACTATTGAAGATATGGAGAAGAGATTAGCAGAAGCAAAGAAGAGCAAATCTCCAATGCCAAAAGAGAAGGAGGTCAAGCCTAAAGCAAAAACAACCTCTAAAAGCGCAGAAGAAGATGCCAAGCTCAAAAAAGATTTGAAAAAAGCCGGTAGTAAAGATAAGACTGGAACTAAAGAGAAGTTAAAGGAGGAAAAAAAGAAAATGGAGTCGAAAGAAACGGTGCGAAGTGGAGAGACAAAGGCGAAGCTTAAATCGAAAGAAAAAGAGATTATGGAAGAGTTGAAAGAGAGAGAAGAAAGACCACAAGAAGCGGAGCATCTGTCAGTAATGGATAAAGTAAGCAAGAAAGAAGAGGCAAAGGAAGCGTTGGAGCAAGCATTAGGAACGCCACCTTTGGATAAAGTAATGAGGGAGATAGGAGAAGCTGAACCTATATCACCTCCAAAGAAAGGTGAAGAGGAAAAAGAAACGACAAGTGATGAAATGAGGACACCCTCTCCAAAACTGCGAAGAAGCGTCAACAATAAGAGCCATATTGATTCGCTAGAAATGGGAGCAGAAGAAAAGAAGGAACTTGTCGCAAAAGAGGAAGAGAAATTTAAACAGGCTGAAGCGGCTATAAAGAAGGAAGTACCTGTTTTGAAGGAAAAGGAAAGATCGAAGGAGATCAAAGCAGGTGAGAAGAAAGTAGTCAAAGAGCAGGATGAGGGCAAGAAAATGGAGAAACTGGGAGAAAAAGAAGCAAGAAAGAAAGAAAAGGGGGCGAATTTCAAGGCTGCAAGGAAAGACACTCCATCAAAGGAAAATGCTTCGAAAGAACAAGCAACGAAAGTGAAGAATCTGAGTAAAATTGCCAGGGAGCAGGAAATGAAGAATGACGTTGCATCGAAAGAGAAGCTGAATAAACCGGAGAGGCCTTCGGCTGAGAAAAATTTGAAAGATTCGAAAGAGCAAGCAGACAAGAAGTCAAAAGAAATGGTGAAGCCAAAAGCTCAAAAAGGTTCGAAAGATTCAAAGGAGCCAGAGAACAGAAAGTCAAAAGAAGTGGTGAAGCCGAGAGCCGAAAAAGGTTCGAAAGGTCCAAAAGAGCCACCAGACAAGAAATCGAAAGAAGCAGAGAAAGCAAAACCCGAAAAAGGCTCCAAAGAATTGAAAGAGCCGGTAGACAGGAAATCAAAGGAAGCAGAGAAGCCAAGAGTCGGGAAGTCAAAGGAGCCAGCGGACAAAAAATCGAAGGAAGGCTCAAAAGATTCAAAAGAGCAAGCAGACAGGAAATCAAAAGAGAAAGTCCTGGACAAAGCAAACAAGAAGCAGAGTGTTGAGCGCGAGATCAAATCCAAACCTCCGAAAAGTAAACCGCCATGACCCTCCTTCTCTTCAAGATTAAAGAAACTAGTGAAGCTAATCGCTTTGAAATAAACCTTCTTCCAAATATTTTAGTTTATAATTTCAAAATAAATAAAATTTGAATGTTTGTCGTGTTCAACAGACGATCTCATATACAACTCGCCACCGAATTAACTTATACACGACTTATGACACGCAAAGATGCGCCAGCGAGCCTATTACAGTGACTTGCGGGGGGTACAGCCAGTCATCACCAAGTCAGTGCTTTTATCCTCCCAGAAAACTGTGATAGGCTCGGCATAAAATTGCCTCTTCGGCAATGAAGCAATGTACGTTTGACGCATGCCCCGGAGGATATTAGCACGTTTCAGACCGCGAAATCGCGCGCGGCGAAAAAGAGTGTACTTTCAGCATTTAGCCAACAAAGGGAGTTTATTTCGCAGACTGTGGGCTAGATCTGTGATCAGCATGTCAAATAAGCTCCATATCTGAAGTTCTGAGTGAATTTGAAGTGTTTGAATTTTGTCGCTTGAGAGGGATTTGTGCTTTATTGAAAAATAGGAACAAAAACTCAGTTTCAAATAGCATTTAGAAGTTTCTGTGTTGTACACTGTACACATCATTATTGAAATTACGTTTTTCTCTTTGAGATCTAAGCAAAGAAAAGTTGCGACGTCGCACGCGTCATTCGCGTTGCCGCACTCCCTTGCAACTGTTATTCGATTTGTCCCCATATCTTCTAAACAAATATAGGCGGCACAGCTCTATAGAGTCATTTGAAAAGTAGGAGCTCAGACCTTTAACATAATAACCTTGGACTAAAAGAAAACCTCCTGTAAATGTCAGAAAGATCCTTCAAAGCAGCGTGCTGCACCATGTGCAGCACCGTTCCGAAACGTGTTAAAGACGCCGAATCCTTGATCCTTCATTGTTAAAGATGCGCCGTTACGTCCGGCAAAATAACTTGTGCATGGAAGAGACAGCAGATGGTAAGGGAAACGAACGAGCGCTTGATCAAAGAAACGCCGATACGTACGCAGTCTTTGCATGTCACGAATAGCCTATGCATGATTAGAAAGATCTGCGGTAAGACAAAGGCGCATAATCTTGACGCAAATGCGATCCTGTTAGTCGCAGGGCCATGAGGCCTTGAATTCACAACGATGTGGCTACGCACTCCCCGCGATCGCGCCCGTCCAACTAATATTGCTTTTGCACCTTTATCCAACAGTATAATATACTCAAATTGGCCCTCCATCACATTGCGTGCGGGTCTTAGCAGAGAATCTTGCATCTTCCCCTGTCCCTCGCTTCAGGTATCCATAATATCTTTGGTTCTCATCCGTGGCTGCTTCTTGGAGTTCCAGGTGCGATCCAATATCCAGCTGACTTCAGCGGGTCCATCCATTCCACGGATACTTCTGCTCATCTCGCTGAGGGTCTTTCTCAGGGACGTTGCTTTGCGAGGAATCCCTCCAATGTTCTTAAAGGCACCGTCCACCCTAAGTCGAGTGTTGTGTTTTTGACAGCATCTAACAGTAGGGCCTCCTTCAAGCCAATGCCCAAGTCGCGGAGCAATATGCCGCTTCGGAGGAGAGAAAATCGCTTCGGAATAGCGAAGATGCACGAGGACCCCCATCCATGCCCGCCCCTCCCCATCCATGCCCGCCCATTTGTGCGCGCTCATCCAATCACCGTTCTGGAAAACCGGACTGATGGTTCTCCGAAACGGAAATTGTCGGAGTTTACGCAGATTCTCGACTTCATATTTGGAATCAGGGACATGAGAAGGCCCTGAAACGACAAAAACCTGGAAGTCGAGAATCTGGGTGGATGGTGCCTTTAATGCCCATCTGCCGCCTGTTTTCTCCCGATGTGATCAATTTATCGGCGTTTCGCTTTTGCGACGTCGGCTACACGAAGACAGGACGTATCTCTCATATCTGTACTGCGAAGCCCAACGAGATGTTATTGTGTTGGGTAATCTCCGAAAGACTACGCTCGGGAGCTCCGTGGGAGTTCCGGAGAGTTTTCTACGTGGATAATAATCGAGTCGAACAAGTAGGCTCGAAGCTCCGGGCCCTCAACTGCTCGGTGGCTCCCTTTGCGCCCCCAAGAAGGTCTAAGCTGCTCTTCTTCTTCCGCTAAGTTCTATCGTTTTCCACATTGGTTCAAGGTACACTAAGAAGTTATGAGGATGTCTTCTATTACTGTCTTCGCATTTTCCAAAGGGCGTTTTCATGGACTAAGTCGTCCTCCATTTTATTTGCAACCCGATCTTCTTCCCTACTTCGCTAAGTTTTTTGGCATCGTCTCTGCTTCAGTGATACTTCATGCTTCTTGCTCGAAAACCGAATATGCCTGCAAAGAGGGAGTCTTCCATTAACTCGCATGCCCCTCTTTTCCCATTGCTGTGACTTCATCACTCCTCACCCACTCTGCAAGGCTGCGGTGAACAGCCTTACGGCGTCGCCTTGTCGAACCGACTTCCCTGCTGGGATAGTAGAACCAACGGAAGACCTGTAACGTCGCTGTGTAGCCCTTTTAGCAGTCCTGACATAAGCTGGGTCACTTCTGTCAGATAATGCTCTTAGGTTGACCTGCTCTCGACACTTTCAGTGGCTTTTTTGTGGTCCCGAAGGTTAAGACGAGAGGCGGTCGGTACTCCCTGCAAACTTCTATGACTCGGCAGACTTCTATGACCCTCGGAACCAACTGGTACTGCAGCCGAATTTGCTTGCGAAATTCGCTCTTCCTTCGAGTTGGGCTTATTCTCTGGAGTGTCCTTGATATGCATACGAGGATGATTATGAAAAACTTGTACAATACACTTAGCAGGCATACTGAACTTTAGTCGCAAAAATCCTCTCCTCTGAAGAAAAGGACAGTTCTCAAGGTTCTGCATCGCTTGGAAATCCTCTCTTGTTAAAAGTAAGGTGTTAAATGCAAAATCTTGTGTCGGTGTCCTTTGGGTCGCAGAAGTTTTACAGAGCTGATCTAGTGCTGCAGCCGTAAACTATGTCCTCATAGTCAGGATGGCGATGCATTCGAGTAGATAGAAGCCGTTATAATACTTCAGTGAGAGTAACAAGCTCGGTATGGTTGGTAATGGGCTGAAAAGTTGGCATAAAAGTTTTCCGTGATAGATTTCATCTTTTCCCGAAGGCCTCGGACAGAGTTCACGCAGTTTGATCGTCGCGATTTAATCGCTACAAGACAACTGTTGCGAGTTCATTGCATGCCGATCAGCGGGTGGAGGACTATATGTCGCCGAATTTGGAAGAGTCCCGCGCGGATTCCCTGCAGGAACGCATGTCCGCGCATGTACAAGGGTGCGTATTTGTCGCAAATGACCGCTAGGACCGCCCTTTTTCGGCGACATATAGTCCTCTACCCCCGATCAGCTTGCATTTCGGTTGTGATACTTTTCCATCTCGAAATTTTTGAATGTAAAATGAAAATGAATGAAAATCGCGGCGATTAAATCGCAACGATCAAATCGCTTAAACTCCGTCCGAGGTCGAACGCTGCTGCCATTCGCTCTAGATGGGTTGCATGCGAATCTTGCCTGACTGTTAACCCCTTGATGGTCCGCATAATACCTTACAAGTTTTTTCTCACGAGTCGTTGAGCATATCCTTCGCAGGCTGCAATCCTCCCAGAAGCCAATCATAGTCTCCGGTCCCTCTCAATGGACCAGTCCCAACTTGATAGGAGCTCTCCAGCCTGTCACGGTCGTATAAACCCTCCCTTCTTCTCACGACTATTAAGACATCGAGAATGCTCCACCTTCGCTTGGTGAGGATGTAGTCGATCACTGCATGAGTCGTTCTGGTGGGCATTCCCTTATCCACAGGAGTTTCTCTCTCTTCCGAGTTCCCATGAGAAAGTCAAGCGGCGAAGACCCACGAGACGATTTCCATTTTCATTGAAGCCAATCAAAGTTCCCAATTCCAAATCCTTCTTCCAGTGTCATTCAATTTTTGCTTTAAAGGCAGTGGCTCGGCAAATCACAACCTAGTCAAAATTGCGCCCGTCCAGATGCGTGTAAGATTGGCCTGCGTGTGTAAGTTTGAGAGCGATTTTCTAGGCAGGAAAAGCATGCTGTGCAACCGGGATTGTACTGTTTTCATAGTGGGCGATAAGGAACCTACCGCGTAAAAATCCCGAGTTGTTGGATTTTTCCGATCCACTGCCTTTAAGCTCATAACATTTGCGAAAGAGGATTCTTCATTATGGACGATGATTCAGTCTTCGTGACAAGCATCTAGTGCTGATGTATCAGATGCGAATGTTACAACACAAACGCAGAAGTTAGAAGAACTTTGACCTACATTCTCCATCAATTTTCCGCAGCTGTGGTTCTAGTCACAATTTCAAGACGTGACCGTGTCTGAATACCACAAGCACAACTGATAATCACAGGTAGAGCATTTGAAGCGCTCTCATAAATCTGTTTCAAAGTGCTCAAAAATACACTAAACGCAGAGTTCCTTCAGTTTGTTTGGGCAAAAGTCGCCGCCCCAAATTCTTGAAGTCTGAGCATATTTCGCTGGAGAAAATGATCACATGCCGAAACAGTTTAATTCTAGCCAACTTAATAAAAATCAGAAGCATTTTTCTCATAGCGCGTACGTCGCAGATCAAATGCATGAGATGTTCCCTGTTTAATAGAAATGGATTCATTTATTTACCTATAATTTTTGATCATCATGTTAAACACATATATGACAAAAAATCATTCACCTTCAATATTCACTAGATATGTTATACAATATCTACACCGATATAAGTGCATTAAATGCGAGACCAGTTGATTAGATCAACAAGTAAATTCACAGGCAGTCTCAATATAAACCGATATCTACATGATAAACGCTTATCTTGTGATGCATGCATACATGTGAAAAGGCGATAATGTGTTCCTACCCCCTTCACCCCAGGGCCGGAGCCCAGCTAACCCCCTTCACCCACGGCCGATGAGGAACTGGAAAAAGTGAGACTAAGAAATTAACATTTTAAGCAAAATTATAAAACTATCCACATTATTAAAGTAAAATTTAGTAATATTCTAAGTCAGAATATCATTAATATGATATTCTGAATTAAAATATCATCAAAAACCTAATTGCAGGTTCACTGAGAAGTACGTCGGAAACTTGCCGCCTATTGTTCACTTTTGAAAAACGACGAAAAAGCCTGGAGAAAAACTTACGTGTGAAGCCTTCATGTATTATATATATATATGTCAATGAAGTGACTCACGTATTTTCTGAAATAGTAAGTGAAATAATAGGTGAACTTCGATGATCGGTGCGCAGTTGAATTGCATTCTTTTGAAGAGGAATATATTTTCTATGCAGATGGCGGAATCCGTGAAAAGTCATTGATTGATTCCTTGAAGAGTCATTGTTACAACTTTTAATATCATTTTAAACTGTGACAGAGATTACAACGTTTGCGTAGAGAAGAAGGTGCAACTAAGGGCAAGTGCAATCACGATTAGTGTTACTGACAAAATGCAATAGTTACGAGGATCGTGGAGTTCTACAATCCGCCTACTTGGACGATGATATGTATGAGGAAGGACAGCCAGAAGTGCATTGTTCCACGTTGGAGCACTATACAAGAGAAGGACAATCGTATATGATCACTGTGCGGTTATTCTGGAAAAAAAATTGTTTTCCATCGAAGAAGATTGAGAAATATAAATGATCTTAGCAGGAAAACGCAGTCATAATTAGCCTAGTCTAGTTTAGAAGTCTAGTTTCCATCCGCTTTTAGAAAACACACAGCTTGCCAGGAGAAAGAGGAATTTTATTTTGCCAGGTAGAGATTTTTAGTCATTTTTTTCGAAATCGTGGAATTTTTGTTTAAAAAATTGTAAATTTTTGATATGAGAGATAAGAGAGTCTCTAGCCATACATTGAATTACTCTTGTTGAAAGCTTTTAGAAAGTATATAGCTTACCAAGAAAGAAAGGATTTTCCTGTAGGGTGAAGGTGGTCGCGAATGTTTTTCTGTAATTAAGGAAATTTTTTTATAAAAGTTCATAACTTTATTATATGAAAAGCTAGAAGAGTGTTTTGCACTCTATTGAAATCCCCTCGTCGTCCGCTTTCAGAAAATATATAGATTGCCAGGAAAAAAGAGGATTTTCCTATCGGGTGAAATGGGTCGTAGTCTATTTCTCGGAATTAAACCACTTTTTAAATTAAAAAAATTATAACAATTTTATATGAAAAGCTGGGAAAGCGATTAGGTGTTCATTGTATTCCTCTCGTCGTCCGCTTCCAGAAAATATAAAGGTTGTAGGAAAAGGGATGCTAAAAGTACGTGGTGAAAGGGGGAGGAACATGGTATAATGGAAATGTTCCATTCTATACTCAAAAAGCATCGTTTTAAGGAGCTAAAAGAACATGCTCATTATACCATGTTCCTCCCCCTTTCACCACGTACTTTTAGCATCCCTCTCCCTACAACCTATATATTTTCTGAGAGCGGACGACGAGAGGAATACAATGAACACCTAATCGCTCTCCCAGCTTTTCATATAAAATTGTTATGATTTTTTTTAATTTAAAAATGGCTTAATTCCGAAAAATAGACTACGACCCCTTTCACCCGATAGGAAGATCCTCTCTTTTCCTGGCAAACTATATATTTTATGAAAGCGGACGACGAGGGGATTTCAATAGAGTGCAAAACACTCTTCTAGCTTTTCATATAATAAAGTTATGAACTTTTATTAAAAAAAATTTCCTTAATTTTAGAAAAACATTCGCGACCACCTTCACCCTACAGGAAAATCCTTTCTTTCTTGGTAAGCTATACACTTTCTGAAAGCTTTCAATAAGAGTAATTCAATGTAAGGCTAGAGACTCTCTTATCTCTCATATCAAAAATTTACAATTTTTTAAACAAAAATTCCACAATTTTGAAAAAAATGACTAAAACTATCCTTCTAAACTAGACTAGGCTAATTATGACTGCGTTTTGCTGCTAAGATCTTTCATAATTCTCAATCTTCTTCGATGGAAAACAATTTTTTTTCGGAATAATCGCGCAGTGATCATATACGATTGTCCTTCTCTTGTTTAGTGCTCCAACGTGAAATAATGCACTTCTGGCTGTCCTTCCTCATCCTAGGCGGATTGTAGAACTCCACGATCCTCGTAACTATTGCATTTTGTCAGTAACACTAATCATGATTACACTTAGCCTTCGATGTAATACGTGCCCTTAGTTGCACCTTCTTCTCTACGCAAACGTTAGAATCTCTGTCACAGTTTAGAAATAATATTGAAAGTTGGAACAATGACTCTTCAAGGAATCAGTTAATGACTTTTCACGGATTCCGCCATCTGCATAGAAAATTCATTCCTCTTCAAAAGAATGCAATTCAACTGCGCACCGATCATCGAAGTTCACCTATTATTTCACTTATTATTTCAGGAAATACGTGAGTAACTTCATTGACATATATACATGAAGGCTTCACACGTAAGTTTTTCTCCAGGCTTTTTCGTCGTTTTTCAAAAGTAAACAATAGGCGGCATATTTCCGACGTACTTCTCGGTAAACCTGCCAATAAATTTTTGATAATCACAATAATAATATTGAGAATACCTTGAATTTGATCTTAATGATGCCGATAGTTTTATAATTTTGCTTAAAATGTTGATTGCTTAATCTTACTTCTTCCAGTTTTTCTTCTCCCAATTCCAGTATTCTTCTTAAACCCGGTTTGACTACAATTTCACTTGATGCATGTGAATGAAAAGAACATGAGAAGCAATGATGACGAGCATTCCCCCCCCCCGTCGACGCACTTAACAGCGGCGGCCGCTCTCCCCCCCCCCCCCTCGTCGGCCCTCATACCCCCTTCACCCTGGAGAGGCGGGACCCCTATGACCCCCTTCAACCTGGAGAGGCCATATTCCTCCTTTGCACAAGTATGGATGCATGCCTAGTATAAGTGAGGTAAAAAAGTGAATCAGTTTATATGGCCTGGGCTAAGGAGCTCAAGATTAACAGACCTAATAAGAGATACTTGCAAATATTTCTAAGCTACCAGCGCTGCATGAATAACTCGTAACTGCTGCACTTTTGACCAAATTCCGCCTCGGGACAATTGCTCGTTTAGCTGAAGAAAGAAGGTAACTAGCTGGAAATATTACAAAGGTAAAATCTCAGAGGAGAATGGTAAAAACGGAAAAAAAAGAATTTTGACTGCTTACACGTGCTACGACTCGATCGTGCTTGTGTGTCCACTGCTGCCTGAGTCGGGCTATGTCCTCTCGTATTTCACGCCTTACATTATCGTTCCGAGCGGCATCCAAATCACTGTAAATAACTCTTGGAAAACTCGAAAACGATGACATGCTGTCTATTATGTAGGAGAAATTTTCCATAAAAAAGAAGAAGTTTTGAGAAAATAGGCACGGGATGTTCACAATCTCTAAGGTAGAACGACTCACACTTCCAGTAATCGCATCTGTTCCATGTGAGATCGCTTCTGTCTGACTAGATCTCTATATAAAGCTTTTGCATAATCCTTACATTGTGAATCGTAGATAATACTTCGCGCTAAAATAAAGTAGACAGATTTATTTCGGAAAACTAATATAAAAATTCCAGTTTACCTAGCGGAAGCCATTCTTGAAACCTCGTGCCGATGATCTTCATGACCTGTTGTTGATTGCCAGCGATTGAAAAAGTGCTATTGCCCTGAAACTTCAGTATCCAGTCATTAACAATGGAGTTGCAATTTTACAATGCATACCTTCTGTCCCGATCCCACAAAAGGCATTTTCTTTGGAACAGGTGGCTTTTTGTGATGCACATTATGCTTAACAGATTCGGGAGTTATGGTTGACTCGGTATCGTCCTCCACAAGTTCTTCGACTTCATCTTTGGGGGCAATCTCTTCCACAGGTGGTTGCGACTCAGTCTGCACCGCACACTCATGTTCCGTTACCGTTGCAACATCGCGATGCTCAGGAACGGGTGAGCGCACTTCATTTGTATGTGCAGTCTACAAAAAAATTGTCTTAAATAAATGAATCTGAAAAAGATAAGCGTATAAATAATGTTGCGAACCTGATCAATTCTGGGAGAGGCCTGATGCGATGTCGTTGGTCGAAAATGCATTCTACCTCGGCCATGAATAGCTCTACCGATAACAACAGGCCTGCCACGTTTTCCTCCATACCGTCGCTGTCGATGAGACGCATGGTCAAGTTCATTGTCATGAATTGCTAACCGAGCTTCCGCTCCATCAAACATGTTACTTCGTCTACAAAAAAGCATCAATAAAAAGGGACTAAAGTAAAGTTCTTAGCCAAAACTCACGGATCAAATCGCTTTTCGAGCGCCGACGAACCACCAAACATGTTCAACCTATCCAAAGTGAAGGTTGGATACACGGGTTTATGATCCACAGAAGTCGATGAAACGCTGTGTCTTCGATGATGTTTGTGGTGTTCCGGTGCACTTTTTATCCTATGTGTGATGACATGATATTTGACACATTTTGTTTCTGTTTCTCCTGAAAAATGGCGTTTAGGACAAAATGTTTATTCTTCTAATTAAGGACTTTTCACGTCCACGCATGCTTAACAAAAGTTCGCCAACAACAAAGCAACAAAGCAACGAACAAGTAAAGCCAAACAATAGAGGAGGCTTTTAGCTGTATGCAATCTAATGGCCTCGTATCTGCATTCACTACCGCAAAAAAACTAACTCTCTTAGTACTTTGGTTACTAGGGTATCCCTCTCAACATCATAGAGAAAATGCAATCAATATGAAATGGAAAGTTGTAAGAAAAAAAACTTATACGGTAACTCAATACTCACCTTGTGTGCTCGTGGCCTTTTCTACTAAATAATTCAGAGCTCCAGAACGAAGTGCTTTTGTACACTGATCAGCGTCTCTAATCGCATTATCCGCAAGGAGATGGAGAGAACTCAACCGTGCTTGCTCTATGGTAGACGAGGCGCGAGATCCACTTGGTGGTCTTTCTATAGTTAGCCTAGAATTCAACATTTCTATAAGCGATTGGAACATAGTATGAATTTTAAAACTTCCATAAAGAAGCGCCTCAGCTCTCGATTATGTCATTGATGACCAATGATCAACTCGAATAAGATCGTGTTTAGTTAGTTTCGATTTTAGATTTCAGAACATCATTGGCGATAATATTTAAACGAAAAAAAAAACGAAAACAATAGAATAATTTACATCTCATCCAGTGCAAACGAATCCGCCGTTTCATCACGATTTCGCCCCGCAGCTGCACGTTTTGCAATATTCATGTCAGCGAAAGCCTCTTTGAGGTCTCGAACTTCTTTGCTCAATGGATCACGTCCAGTCGAAACGGTGCTTGCACTTCCGCTGCGCGTAATGGCCTAGGGAATTTGATATAAAAAGCAACTCCAACTTCCTTCTGAAACCTACCGTGGCCAGTGTTGGTGCCGAGGAAGCCGTGGATACAGGTCTAGCTTGCTTCCCACAATAGTTCATGATGGCTTTTAGGCCGTTCATAAGCTTTCTTTCTTGAATTTCCAGCTCAGCACTGAATATTGGGTCATGCAAATCGGTCGTTTCATTCGAGATTTTCCGAAGCGGATCATAGAGCTGAAAATCATTAAACGGAGGTTATGAAATCAATTAATCCAGAAAGTGAATGTAATCATAGTTAAGTGTATGAATCAAATACTTAATGCATAAAAACATGACTTAAAAAAATACTATTTCGATATAGAGGGACTTATTCATTGAGTCAGAAATCATGATAATAACCATTTGTAGAATGATGACTGTGATTATTCCAGCGACTTGAACCATTCATGACTTTGGGGAATCGCCGCTAAGATTCGCTCAACTGCGTCATTAACACGTTGACGACCGCGCCATTTTGGGCGAAACTCCCACTAACGTCCTTCGCGCATTTGGCCCGTGCATACGCGCGGATGCACGAAAACATTATGTGGGAGTCTTTTTGACACTTATTAATAAAACATGCAAACTTTGTTCAGACATACAGGTATATTACAGAGCCTTACCAGGACTCACACAAATCAAGGTTTTTGCATCGATTTTCCCTCCAAAAATCCATGCAATGGCTATATCTGAGGAATCGCTCTTCGAGAAAAGCGTTGTAAAACCAGATGTTTTTTGCCTGATTCATCTTTGTTTGATTTCAGAACAGCTATACAGAGTTTTCACCTTCTCGAGAAAACGTAGTTAGCATGTATTGACTACATCAAAAACGTACTGATTACCCAATTTTGCGGCCAAAACTTCTGAACAGCTGCCGCGAAGCCCTGTGTTCTGTAAGACAATCAGGCCACTAATAGTATTACTGCATAGAAGTTACCTTAAAACTTTTCGCTTGCACCTAAAAAACTAGCGTGCATATGCGCGGATGCACGAAAATGCTAAACGCGAGTCAGGGCGTGCATACGTGCGGATACACAAGGTCGTCAACGTGTTAAGGGACCCGTCATACTTCGCCGAAAAAAGTCCAAAAGCGCCCAAAAAGCCCAAGAAAGCCCGAAAGCGCCAGAACGCCCACTTTACGAAGGCGACATTTGGCGCTGGAGCATTACTTTCGGAAACATGTTCGATACTAGAACAACTAGGTTTGAAGAATAATCAAGTGAAAGGACCGCCTCGCGAACACAAAACACATGCCCTCGCGCCAAAACTTGCGAGAGGGCGTTCCGGCTCTTTTGGCGCTTTTGTGCTTTTTTGAGCTATTTCGGGCGCTTTTGGGCTTTTTTCGGCGAGTATGACAGGTTCCTGAAACTTGCTTTTCCGCGACTCGGAGGCGTCAAAATTCCGAAATCCGGCCTTTCGCCACTATAAACATTCATAACTTAGCCTGAGAAAGACGTTTTACAAATTCGTTGCAAAATAATTATTCTAACGCAAACTAATTCTTATCAAAATTATTTTGATAAGAAACGAGATAGCTAAATGTATAGATAACTAGGCCTCAGTTCTCGATTATATCAACACTTTGAATGACTCAAAGCTCAAATAAGATCGCGTTTAGTTGTTTACATACTTGATAAACATCATCGGCCAACTTATACAAAAATGAATATTGAAATTTTTGGCTGCTAAATAAGCTTCAATCAGATCATAAATTGAAAAAGCATAATATAAAAAGTGCTCTCACCTGAGCATTACGAGTCGCATTGGATTCCGTGCTGACAACTCGAATCGGACTAATTTCACGACATTTTGCACTGCCCGGTCGCACAATGCTCTTGGATCGATTCGCTTGCGATTTTTGCAATTTTAGCGGTGTATCCAAGGGTTGTGGTAAGCGAATAGTCGAACCATTGTGTTGTACGAGGATTTGCGACCTTCGCGATATATTCGCAAGGATTGGACGGCTCTCATCGTAGACAATGCCTGACTGGAATGCCATGGATTCTCTCGACATCGCTGAGCGGATGGATCTTGGGTGGTCCAAAGTCAGTTCGGAGCATGGTCGTAGCTCTTCTTGGGATTCGTCGCGTTTCGTAGCATACTTTGATGTAGCATAGGACTGAAATGAGGAGCGCTAATCAAATACCGGGTTTCCCAGGTAACTTCGGAGAAGCCTTACCCCATCAACTGAGCAAATCACTCCTTCCGGTTCGGTAAATCTTGCAGACTCATCTAACGCTGGTGAAAGACCATAACCTTCATCCGCGTCCTCAATCTGAGCATCCTCGCCCATAGTCTATAATTGCGCAAAAAAAATTCGATAGGATTGTAAAGCGAAATAGCTCTCTGATTCAAAAAAGGAGGAATGTTTGAAATGATGAAAGCTATAGCTGAAACACAAATGCTGACGGCATTTAGACTATGGAATCCCGGATGGTTTTCTTAGAAACAGGAAGTTATGCACGAACAAACGCTGAGTGGTTTCCGAACATTATTACAACAACTTAATCCATTCCTATTGCTGAGGAAATCTTTCAGAAACTGAGAAGACCAACCATACAAGTTGAATGCAAGAATAGAAATGAAGGTTTTATGGAAATTTCATTTTAAAAGTACCTGACTACAATCTCGAACAAGTAACTACAAGTTTTCACAGCGGATTTCAAGTGAAGAATAGAAATCTACTCCTTCCATAGAGTAAAAGTGTAACCAAGATTCTGAAAAGTAAGCAAAATATTGCAGAAATTTTTTTTATAGCGCTCGCTGTGTGGAAAAACTGGAAGACAAGCATGAATTCCACAGATGATACGTAGATGGAAAGCAACCGAATTTTAAAAAATAAAGGAATGAAGAGCTATAAATAAAATAAGCCTTCAAACTATCAATGAGAGCTATGAAATGAAAATATCGGCAATGTTATGAGCATCAAAATCACCTAAATTTACAACAAAATGCGTGGAGTCCAAGCGTTACCGCGATATATGGGAACTTAGGAATAAACCGATTTGTTCGAGTTTTTGAAAGTTTCAGAAAGCATTTTTCTACAGAAAAGGCTAGACAAACGATCAGAAATAGCATTCGAGATTCTTCAGGCAATCTTCCAAGTATTTGAAGCGTTGCTATGATAATTGGCGCGCAGACGAACGCCTTGCTCCGCTGCGGGACCAACGCCATTCAAACGCTTTGTTCCTTCCCACAATTTTTGCTGAATCGTCAACAACAAGACTTTATTAGTTCACTTATTTTCTTTGTTACAACTAGAGAATAACTACAAAAAAAACTCAACTTCAAAGTGATTTTCACAACTCATAAACATGGGAAAATGGGCAGGAAGTGTAAACAAATAGTAACCGAGAGAGTTTGGATGAAAGATACAACGTAAGAGTTACCGAGAATTTGGTTGTGAAAGGTACAAATTTTGGACCCATAAAGGCAGCGCCTCTTCAACAAAATTCAGAGAGTATCAAACAAAAAAAACATTATTAGTAGGAAAAAGTAGGGCAGTATCAACAAAAAAAGAAAAATCGTGAACAACTTCTAGAGAAACAACAACGGTAAGCTCAAAGAACAAAATGTCAGCCTAAGCGAAATAGAAACGACCTTCAATGTATTTATCGATTTATCGATTTCTTATATCCTAAAAGAGAAAATATGGGAAAGAGGGTGACACCATGTTGTGAACACAGCGTGAGCCACAATGCAGGGGTCAAACGACGCATTCGATCAAGATAAACGAGGCGAGCGACCATACAAAGACGTCCTCGCACAATAACAAGAGGCTTTGGCATCTTATCGCTCGTAAGTCAAAAGAAAGGGCAAAGCGATCCGTTTTACGGGGTGAAATTATTTCCTTCTTGAGACATCCGTACTCCATAGAGATGGTTCTCCCCTCGAACCCATTGGGCGTTGTTGTGCGGGGCTGGTGATGGATTCACCATAGATTGGTGTTGACTTGAAAATCGGTGAATCTCGGAAGAAACCTAGGAAAAATCGAATAATTTAGAATTGATCAAGTAGCAGGAAAACTTTATGTTGAAAAAAAAAAACATCAGACTAAGATCAAATGAAAATGAAAAACAATCTTTTGGAACAGATTAAGTTTTCAGAAACTTCAAATCATTTCAGAAAAAAATACGAAAAAAATAACGAATTTCATCATTAAAAACTTCTTTACATAATTTAAAGGCCTTACATCACTTTGTTCAAAATAAAAAAAAAAACACAAATGCAGCGCTTACTAGGGGAACTCTGCCGCGACATTGACTGATTTATCATAGATGATGATGGTGACCGTATAGCGCTAGTATCATTGAATGTACCTTCCTTCTCCCAGATCCGCCTTCGAATAAACCAGTAAGCTAAATATAAAAATTACTCTTCCATTATGACTTCCACCAAAAAGTTCCCAAAACATACCAGCGATGGAAAGTATTCCTAGCAAGCACAGCCACATCAAACTCGGAATAATCCATGAATAGTGTTGCAAGAATATCAGCAGAAAATCGATAAGACTCGTACTGTCAAGTGCTGAAATCCGACAACAATAGGTACGCTGCAAATTATATTGCTTGAATAGAGGAACTCACCATTATACACTTGTTTAGCTTGTCCCACAATTCGGATCCTAACTGGCACATGGATCTTCTGTCCCGTAATCGCGTTCTCAACTGTCACAGTGCATTTTTCAGAGAGGTCGGACCATAGAGCAGCTGACTTCACATTCAGCTATAAGCAATTTTTTTTCTATGCAATCAAATGCTCAAGCATAATTTTTGTTAACGAAATTCAATTAATTAATAAATTAATAAACCGGTAATTTCATCTTTTGCATAAATTTCCTATCATCGTAATGGGGATTTTATCACCGCTAATTGCAAAATTAGAAAACTCGACAGTGTCGAGTTGTGAAAATTTTTGTATAAACAGATACTACGCTACCTCAACATCTTATCGGTGATATCAAGCCCAAACAGAAGACTGAAGTGCAAATATCAACAAAAGGCTGCTGAGCATACGCTTCACAGTTTCGATCGGTATACGAACAACAGACAGGACGTACCACGTGAAAAATTGATAATTTTGCAGAATCACCTCATTCAAAAAGCCTTTCATGCACTTGCGTGTAAAAGTGATATTTTCAAGTGATATTCGCAAAAAATGGAAAAACTTATCGATTTTCCTTGTATAACTTCAAAAATCGAAATATCTCATATATTTGAAATGCTAAACGCTGTAGTTGTAGCTCTTCAACGTTTGTTTTCATTGTCACCTGATGATTCATCCTCTAAGGCTGATGGCTAAGTTTTGCCAAGATTCAAATTCATCTCTTAGCTGGAAAAAGAAAATCTTGCGCTTACTATAAGTGCTTGAATCAAGATTCCTTGTGGACAAATCGCAATAATATACCAACCAAGAAGAGCACTTCGAAAGTGGTGTTGAATTTCAATAAAATCGTCAAAACCGGGTTGATTTTGACCCTAGTTTTATTAACTACTCTTCCGACTAGAAAAGATTTGTGCTCGGATGTCTCTATAAAGATTATGATTACTGGATATCCTTATTCAACTTTTTGACGTTACTTAAATTGAACTCATATTATTTGCTATGAAAAATCTATAGGTTTTCCAAACGTTTTTAAAACGAAATTTTCATATTTTTCAAATGCAAAACTTGCGCATCAATCTGATAGATGACCAACTCCTTCGTCCTTTAAGCTCATAAACCTTTACCATTACCACACACTATCACTTTCTGGTATCACTCTCCCCCCCCCCCTCCTTCTCCCTTCATGATGGATGCTGCCATTTGCCAGTCGCTAGGAAGACAACTATTCCAGCAGTGCTGCCGTGATCAGGTGGCCGAGTGGTTAAGGCGATGGACTGCTAATCCATTGGGGTTTCCCCGCGTGAGTTCGAATCTCATCCTGATCGAACATTTTGCAAAAGGCCTGTTTTATATCTGATGCTATTTGCAACAGCTTTAATAACCAACCTTCACCAGGAAGAACTTATTTGCGCCATTATTAGCCCCAGATGGATGGCGGGTCTCTGTAATCGTGACGATATCGCCAGGACATCCATTTGCATTGATCTAAATAAAAATTTCTTTTAGAAAAACAGAAAATTCAGCCATGAAATACTGGGAAACGAGGGAGAGTCCAGATAAGTATAAACTTACATTGCGATGCTGATATGATGGCACTTGAATGGACAATACGGCCGATTTTTTATCCATATCCGACAACTGGATCTGAAAAAGAAAGAACCTTACTCATGTATTTAAGCGCACCAGAATTTGTTTTATAGAGCAGTAACAAGATAAAGATAGAAACAAAAAATTAGATTAAACGCAAAACACCCCTACCTCCGACTCCAAAACTCTCATCGCCATATGGAATACCGTGTTCGCAACAGCATCTTTGATTTGTGTATCTCCCATCCATTTCGCAATTATGTTGAGATCCACCTGGCTAGCTCCAGCAATATCCAAATGAACTTGGCCAGCTTCTTGCCGTTCGACTACACATGCATAAGATCCTGTAAAATTTTCCATATTTAGGTATCGTTTGAAATTAGATTAACATACCAATTTTGGGCACAAAAACCGCCTTTGCAGATAGAATGTTCACAGCTGGACCCATTTTATTCGATGTGAAGGCAGTTGTGCAATCGAAGGGCGCACGAATGGTAGATAGCGCTGAGAGCTGCTTTTCTGTACAGCCTGCAAGCATTACTTTAGAACATCCCTCATATGCGAACAATGGGAGGCACATACCAGCAGCAGCTTCATGGGACGATGATGTTTCGTTGCTTCCGATGATCACTGGGAAAACATAAGACGACCCTTCCGCATTTGAAACTACATTTGGAAGATCTTTTGCAAAATTCAGGTTTTGAGCAGGTGCGATGGACAACTAGAACAACAAATCTTTTTTCGAGCACAAATAATACCAAAAACTCACCGAATTCGTCAACTTCTGATCGGCAGTTTTGACAGTGACATGGGTAGGTCCCGGATGTGCCAATTTTGCTATACCTCGTTCAACATCAAGCCATTCGATACGACCATTACTCGATTCCCATCGTGCAATTCCAGTCAATGGCGAGTTAAAGCATACAATATTGGATACGAAAGGATGTCGATTTGAAGGGTACAGCATTTCCGCTGCAGAAAGTCGTACAAAAGTGTTCAGTGATGGTTCTACAGTATCCCAGATCTAGATAAAGAGCAAGATAAGAAGACAAATTGTCGAAAAAAAAAACACAATTATACCTTCAAAACGGTGTCACCCACAGATTTTAGGGATACAGTAAGAGTGCGATTCGCGTCAGATGGAACAATGTCGGTGAGGTCAAACCTAAGATCATTGTCTAACATTTCAGAGATAGAATTATTACTCCCTCACCTATGCGGTCTATAGTTCAGTTTCGACGACGAACTGAGCTCTCTTCCCCTCGAGTCACGAAACACCACCCTAAGTGCAATTTTCGCCCCAACGGGTAGGTTCAGGAGTGGTGTGGAAGAAACCGGCTCCAGTTTCGTAAGCAACTTTACGTCCAAAGAATTGACGCCTGCGATCGTTATGGGTATTATGGCGGTTTCGTTGTCAGGCTGATCCGTTCTGCGAATATACACGGCTGCAGGCCCTACAGAAGATTTTGAGCGAGCAATGCCCATTTTCGAGACGGAAAGACGAGAGGCAAATTCAGATGGCACTGAGTACGCAACAACAGATTGTGGCCTGAATAAAAAATTGACATTATTGGAAAATCCAGAAATACTCCGAGACTTACCAAGCTGTCTCGAGTTGTATTTCGCTATTCTGGGCTAGCCTAATGATGGGTATAGGCATTTCTGGCCGTTTCATTGATAAAGGCTCTTCCACACGTATTTCTACCGTATCTTCAAACGCTTGCTTCTTGCCAATGAAATGCTGTTTAGCACTTGCAGAGGGCTCCACGCGAACCTCAAAACCCATAATGAAGATGAAGACGTAATCGGAATCAACGCAGTCAGACCTTCACAGTAGCTGATCCAGCTGTTCCTCCTTCCAACCATATGGCAAAGCGATTTTCATCGGTTTCTGTTATTGAAGAACCGAATGGGTGGACCGTTTGTAATACTCCAGGGTGGCTTATAGTCCAGGTGACCTAAAAAGACAGTGGGAAAAAAGAACCTTTGCTAAACGAAGGTTTACCTTGATCGGATACAGAGCCCCACCAAATGCGAAGGGCGTCTCATCTTGATCCAAGCCGTTCACTCTCACCCATACGCGTCCTCCTTTCTCGGTCATATAAGTGCTAGCAACAGCTTTGATGCCGGCCAATGACACGACACGAAGTACCACAGTATTCTAGAATTTTTCTACAACTTACAAAATTGCTGAAAAAACCCAAAAATCAGCCCAAACCTGTGACGAATGCTCCCCGCCAACATTGATGGTCCCAGTGATGGATGTATACCCAAGCTTCTTCGACGTTATCAGAGCATTCGGTTCAACTTTGGCGATCTGTGAGTTGTTGAGTGTAAAATCAATCTGCGGAGTAGGTTGCGGTCCGCCGATGATCTCCAGCTATAACAGGGGATAACAGATTCATAGTAGTTGCGAAACTTATCTGTAAGCGGACTACCTGGAATGTGCTTTCTGGGATAAGAGTGATCTTTTGCGGATGGAGAGTAAACGATGAGAACACTTGTATAGTGTGAGGGCGAGCGTTTAGAGTTTTACCAGAGGTCGATTTGGCCGATGACGTTAATGAAACGGCTCCCGTGGAAAGAGCTCTGACTCGATACCGTGACCCAGAGATCCTTGAAGGAAACTCTTCGGAAATGAAATACCGGATACAGACAGATGATAACCATACCTGGTGATATGCACCGCGGGATCAGCGGACTCGATAACAGCGTTGGAAAGTGCACCATGATCCCTAGAGAAAGAACTGCCGGATTCGTCGACACCGTCTACTGATACTTCAGCTTCGGATCCAACTTCCATCTGAACCCATTTTATGGAAAAATACCAAAAATAAAGTTTCGAAGGAAAGGAAACCTACAAATTGAGGTCCGTAAATGACAAGTGAATGGATATCAGTGATTTTAACGGGAATATCGAGAGGATCACCGCTAACGCAGAGATCCTCTATACGAAGCGAACCGCCTCCTTGTGCTTTGGGGGTGACCTAGCAAAGAAAATGATGTTTAGTTTCACCCAACGCTCTTAAAACCATACCATAACCATGCTGTCCTTTACTGAAGCATCGAAAGGTGCGCCTGGAAGTTCTTGCACACGGAAGTAACCAGATCCATGGTTCAATCTGACTTTGCCCAGTGCTACGACTTCATTCCACAGAACCTAAATTCTTCTTTTGAATGCGAAAATCAAAAGGCACAAGAACTTACAAGATTAGAAGGCTCTGCCGATACAGGCTTCACGAACTTCAATTCGACATTACTCTTCAAGTCATTGCGTTGATGACTTGTTCTAGAGAGTTCTGCAGTGATGACAGCTGTGCCGAGTGTACCCGAGCCTCTCACGATAGTATAATCTAAAAGCAATATGGGGGATGTGAGAACAGAGACCATTTAAACAAGAATTCAACTAAAGAGGTCTTGAGCTACCAAATCTCGAGGAACCTACTCTCTTCCTCCATTCCTATGTTAGTGACCATGGCAACATTCCTATTTGAACTGACCCAGTTTACCTGTAATAACGTAGAGATGCTTGAAAGACATGGAAGAAAAAAAATTACATTATATCCATTGATGGAGTCCAATACTCGATCGCCTGCTTTTCCACATGAACCATGTGCCGCAATCGTCATTTTCAAAGCTGCATCGGTTAGGAGAACTTTCTGAAGACTTATATTTGCAACAACAAAATCAACTTGCTTGCGTACTCACCACAGTGGACGGACACTTTGGCTGTGCTCCATCAGCAGAAAGCAAAATTCTGGAAGGAGTAGTGCAACACACAGATATGTTGGTTGTGGCAATTGCAGGAAATGGCAATGTAGCGCTAGGTTTGTTTCCTACTTCTAGACGTAGCGTCTGCAAATCCGACAAATTTACAAGCAAAATGCCAAATGTAAGAAAAAGAGATGCAGAAACCTACCGTAACCTCATTCTCAGTACCACACTTCACATTGACAATATCGTTATTGATTCTTGAAGTGACATGGCTAATGCTGGAGGCTTCGTTGTAATAAGCGGAAGAATCTAGCAGCCATGGTCTTGGTCCCCCTTCATAGTGTATGTTGAAGTTGCTATCCAAAGCCAAAGCAATATCGTCATTAACAACCTATAAGGTTCGGGAGTCAGTAAGGAAAGGCAAGAGAAAAACAGAGTCAAACAAATAAAATTTAAAATGAAAGACAATATAAAATGAAGGAATGAATAAAGTAAAGCACTGGACGAAGCTCACTTTCAACTCTGGGTACGCCGAAACGTCGATAGTAGCCTCATGACGAGCAAAAGTTACGGTAATCTTAGCATCACCAGAAGAGACTGCTCTCAATGTGACGGTTGAACAGCCGGTACCAATCAAAGGTAGGGTAGGAGTAGCATCTACAAAAGCAGAAATCCAACATATCTCAATTACAACATTCACACACCTGTTACAGGTTTGAAGATACTGTCATCGGAAGATTTCACCGTAAAGTCAGCACCACGGCAATCAGTGAAAGGTACTGATCCGTCTGGACCAGAACCAGTGAGCAAAACATTTAGAACCAGATCTGACCCTACTTCTGCCTCTTTACGAGTTTCTCCAAATGTCAAGGACAAAACATCCATAACCGAGACCTGCACAAAAGGGAAAAAATAAAATCATGTTTGAATAAAAAAATTTTTTTTTTTCGGAGAAAAGCATCAAAAGAGTCACTTTTATAACATCCTTGTGAGCTGGATTTCTTTTGTCAGCAGCTGTGACAAACGTGCTGCCGGGGGATGAACTGCTTAACACTCCATTCGAATCCACCCCACATATAGTAGAGTCGGCAACGCTCCAGTCGTAAAGACCGCTTCCTCCGCTGACCTAAACGGAAAAACTAATTGAAATGGAAAAAGGAGCTGCAAAGCAACGATGCCTTCCACAATAAGTAATCGCTTCTGCAAGTTATTCTATGCTTCACAAAATCTAAAGGAACAATTTTAATCGCAAACCTTTAGCGGGAATGAGGTCTTCCTGCGGGGTAGATAAGGGAATGCCACCTGAGATGGTGTGATCTTCACAGGGTCCACGATTTGTACAACCTGTTCCCCAGTTACTTTTCCTGTAGTTCGCCGCTCTTTTCCAGCCTCGAACCAACTGTTTTGTCAACGGATATAATGAACGGAAGATAAATTTTGTTACCTCATCCACAACAGCCGCATATTTACTTTTCAGCGTAGTCTTTCCTACTTTCTTGGGCGTCACTTCGAAATAGCTATGATTTTTGGACGCATAGTGGATTTCGAAGTAGTCGCTAGGGATACCAACGTCAAAGCGCAAATTCTGTAATAACGATGCATAAAAAGTATCTACAGAGAAAATGACGAAAACCGAAGCAAATGAAAAAGGAGATGACTACTTACATCACTGATGAACATCTGATTTGCGTGAGGATCCAACAACAGCAGAGAAAGCTTATAACGTTTGCCTGTTTGTAGCAGCCAATTTCCTCCTCCAGATACTGTCCACTGAATAGTTTCGGGGTCGACGACACTGATAGAAGTTGAAGGTGGTCTAACGCCAGTTTTCGCGTTTACGTCAACGTCTACAAAATAAAAGATGGGAGGCAGCAGAAGAGATCGAGAATCTCTTACTTTGGCTGAACAGATGAATATCGGTACGTCCACGAGACAGTGCTCTGATTGTTGATGTCATTTTGTCCAACGAACAGACATTCTCGGAGTCAACTTTCAAATAATACAGTGAAGACGGCATTGGAACCTCTAAAATGAACAGGTAAGAAATTTCTCAAATATATGTTGATTTCTTTCTCCAGATGACAGGAACGTACAAAAGTATAAATCTACATGGAAAACAAAAAACTCAAACAAAGGGATGTAGATCATCGCCAAGAAATGAGTTTTCCAGATGAAAGGGAGTTGGCCACGCCCTCCAAATTTGCCATGCTAGTTGGTATTTTTTAGAAAATAATCACTTACAACTTAAACTAAACTCATACAAGCTGCTTCCAAAAATTCGACCCATTCTCGGGATCGATCCACTGTCATATAGTGCCTTTACCCATGTATAGTACCTATGCCTTTGGGCGGAGATTCAAGTCGACAGAGGCGGGACTTGCTATTGACTCATATCTTTCATAGTTGCGATTTCAAATGTCTGTATGCGTTGTAATCTGATACAATGTGGGCTGACAGGAGGAGCACTTTGAAAAATGAACTGTGGGTCCCAATCAGATTTTCTCATCAAATTTCAGAAATGAAAAAATTATAGGTCACCAAAAATGCTGTGCTTGCTTCCCAATCCAAGAAAAAAAAAGAAAGTGATGCCAGGGAAAAGATAGCATTAATTATCTAAAAATCAAAATCAAGCAAAAAAGAATTTCAATTCGATATGGAAAAAGGAATGAGTGATTGTCTGCAAGAAAACAGACACAAGTGAAAATCGTCAACTCACCTTCAGTGCTGCTTTGCTTAACAATCTGGACGTGAAACGGCACCACAGCATTAACGGGTAAGAAAAGATCATGTGCTGGTTGCAGAAGCAAGTTAGCTACTACCACCAGGTCCAGGCTGTCGGGACTGATGCTCTGAAGACGATTATTAGTTGAATCGAATGTCTAAAGCGCTGTTTATGTAGAAAAATCCGAAAATGAGACCTTGTAATGAGGTTCGCCAAATTTCGCCGTCAGAGTAGCTGACCCAGTAAGGATACCTTCCACAAGAATGATGTAACCTGAAGCACACTAACATTGGTAATCGGTATTATCATTGGAAAAGTTTGGATATGTTGTGTAGGTCGAAGTAAATGCAATTCGGTGATAAGCAGCAGCGAAAAAAAGCTGTGGTCACCATCAAAAACCCAGAAACTGAGTAACTGACCTTTCTTCTTATTTTGCTCTAATGCAACAATCTCAGCTGGTGCTTCATAGGTCGACTGCTCAAAGGGAACGATACGGAGTGGACGGCCTTCCCCAGAGTGGGACAACTCCCATTCGATCGGAATCTCACCCAATGTGGAAAAGGTATCACCTAATAAGAGTTCATCATAATACAACAATATTTGAAAACAAGGTTCTGATGGTACCTTCGGCGTTGAGGGCTTCAAGGTGAATGCGAGCTGGAGCAGCATCAACAAATAAGATTTTCGTAGTTGTTTTTATCCGGATTCTTGAGATTTGATCGACTGTCACGCCACAACTCAACATTGTTCCGGAGCCTATAAGGACACTGGTCAAATTTGAATATCTTTATTTTCGGACGCAATGCTCACCGCTGTCTTCAGCAAATATTACAGCGCTCAGCTCTCCCGAAAAGCCTTTGGATATCGCTCGGATTTCTGCTCTATCCGAGCATTCGTCAGGTTTTGACCCCAAAGGGCTTACCGAGACCACATCCGAACGTGTAGATCGCCTAAGCATGTAACGCTGAGTGAAAAGTTCAGCCAAAATTCATTTCTCACCATCTAAAGCATCCGCCAGAGGGTTGGCTAACTTCAAGAACAAAGTTCACAGGAATATTTGGATGATAGGGCAGAAGGACTCTTGGAACATTGAGCCGATAAGTAGAACAACATGTGGAAATTGCAAAGATGCAAAGCATCCGCAATAGGGCCATTACCCTAGGTATTCGGGATGGCGGCATCCCTATGTACTAAAATAGGAAATTACTGAACTTTAACTTGAGAAGAGAAAAAAGAACCATGACTGGTAGTAAAGCAGCGAGAATGTTTATCAAATATGCATTCGATCCTTTGATGGGGATAAAAAGTATGTCAGAAAACTACAGGGCTTCAATCACAGCTATAACTAACCAGACATCGCAAAACTTCCGAAGAAAACTGAAGTTCTAAAACTTCCGAGGGGACACTCATATCGAAGCTGCCAGGTAGGACAGGGCGCCCACCCACACGGGCAATGGAACGTCCGCCCCGAAAGTTTTAGAAATCCAGTTATCCCTAGAAGTCATTTGCGATTGTCTGAGTATCCTATGTCAAATCCTATTCGGCTCGATTACTAGCGCGGGGTTCTGATTAGTGCGGTGCTACCAATTTCAATTTTTAGCCACCTCTAGAAAAACGAACGCGTTTGATCTACACTTCTATATCTCGCGACCTGATCGGATAATCGCCGAAGTTTAGCGAGCCAGACTGGATCCAGACGACAAGGTGGGCGCAAGCATAGCTGCCGTTATGTGCTGGAAACTTGACCCATTTGAGATAGGATAACCATAAAAAATAGAAATAAATCATTAGAAACTGATGCACTGTGCATCTGAACACAGAAAATAGAGCTTTGAAAGCTTAGGCTGCGTTCATACTGAAGTTCGAGAACGATTCCACTACAGCCGCAGTAGCGCTGTGCTGGAGCGGTTCCCGAACTTCGGGGTCAGTATGAACGCAGCCTTATGTTTCAGGTCTTTTCTAGTAACAAAATTCACCAGATGTGCTTAAAGAGAAATGTAAGGAGTATGCAGAGTACTTCAATAAAATGAACGAGGAGATCATTGAAGAAGACCAACTGCTGAAGAATGCCACAAGATAAGTGTAGTAGTGACGCAGAAAGGACACAGTGAAAACGGCAGATAATCTTATGGCTGACACTGAAAGAGGTTCTTTGTTGAAAAAACTCATTTTGCCTTCATACTCGTGCAGACGTAATCAGATGTTCAGTCTTATTTACAACTACTTTAGCTGATCTGCTTCTATGAACTTTAGACAGGCGTTGACAACATGTGAGGTTTATAAGAACGAATGCAAGGGATTTTCCAAGATATTTCGCATACGTAAGACGGAAGTGGTAGGGTACCGCTGACATATTTGAGGTGAAAAATCAAAAACTCTGAATTTTAGATGCTCTAAAACAAACTAGACCACGAACCGCGAAGTTCAGATACAAAAACGGAAGTGTAATTCGAATTCGCACTTCGAAAAAAAAAAACGAATTCGAAAATTAGTGTTGCCGCGGCGACTACAAGTGAATTGACGGGAGAATTCAAGTGCGCGATTTTTCAGGCTGTCGTCAGCTGAAAGGTCCAGTTCACTGCTGTGCGAGCTTCTAGAAACTACCATACTAGTGCTTGGTTTACTATTCTGTCCCCAAGGTACTTGATGAGTGGGCGGAGCTAGCATAACAAATGATGTATATCTCATTCATGCGCATCAGGCGCAATAAATAATTGGAGAATAATGGGTACTATTCCACATTAGTTGACCTAGAAAATGAAAATCGCGGGTTTCGCTAGAACCTCGTCCAAACGAGTTATAGTTCATTCATAAAATTGTGACGACGGATTTGTGGGTGGGGGAACGAAAGCCGCCAGGTCCAGCCGCCTTTCGCGGCCAGCTGGTCCTTTCGCAGCGTTGTTGCATGTCGTTCCAGGACCAGCAGTCCGCGGAGGCGGCTGGACCTGGCGGCTTTCGTTCCCCCACCCCGGATTTGTCTGCGGCCTTTGCGCCCACAGGAGCATAACATGCTCCTTTGTAAAGGCATCACCACAACGCTCAGCTCAGTCACTTCCACTGTCCAAGTACTATCATATCTAACTAGAAAAACCAGTCGAATAGAGATTAAAATCAAGAAAATGCGGCTGCCAGAAGGTGCGTGCGTGTCGCGCGCGGTCGCGCCATCGTCACGATTTTTCGAGTGCCCTATACTTCGCACGTCGTACGAATATCACATCTATTTCCACGGTAGGGCCATCCGGTGGAGTTACGGTAGGATCGGTAGGCGGGTTCAAAACCACGGACTTGCGCCAAACTTCGTCTGGGGGGGGGGGGGGGGAGAAAGGGATTATTTGACACGCTGAACATGAAGATCATATCATTTCGTACGGTAGCGTCATTTTATCGGGTTACGATGGGTATGCGGTAGATGGTTTATAACCCCGAATCTTGCTCAAAACGTTACCTATAAGCAAAGTTTTGGCCAAAGTTCAGATGACCATCGAATGCCGCTGGTATGCAACAAGAGTCATGGGAAGTGGGGGTTCCTAAGCACGCTGATTGCGAATATCACTCTCTTTTTGCGTTTTGGTATTTTTTCGCGGAATTACGGTAGGTGTATGGTAGGTGGCTAATAGATCTGCTCGAAGCTTTGTGCATGGTGCTACGCGACGTGCTGAGCACTGGCGGCGTATCAGAATCCTCCAAAGGCTTGCCGCTTCCTCTCCAGGCGCGCCCTTGGGAGGCAATAATCTCTTCGCGCTTACCTCGCACTTATGTCGCTTTTGTCTAACACATTCCTGCGATAGTTCCCCTCCGGACAATCTGTTTCTGCTAGCATTAATTAGAAGGTTCACCTTGTGAACATTGATTCTTCAATGATAACAAGAAAGGAAAAAACTGTGGGAACTAATAAAATAATAAAAGTAGACTGACAATGAAAGTGCCTCTTGCCAGGACCACCTGGTTGAAGTTAGTTGGAAGTTGATGCTATCAATATATAGTATTCGAAATGCTGACTTTTATACCTGCAAAGCGTTTCCCTCAAAGGTTATGAGCTTTTTCGTATTTAATGAAAGTGTAGCCGAGAAAGAAAAGGCGTGTGGACAGTAGCATGGCCGGAAAACACATGAAAACGTACGAATGACATCAAAGTTTGTACGATACTTAACAGGTATTTTAATTGAGTCTGCATCTTTTTAGTGGAAATTATTTTGCAGCTCGGGATGCATTCAATTTGACAATAAGAAACGCTCAAAACTTTCCCAGAAGGAAGCTTTGCAGAGATATGGCATCTAGGTAAGAAACCAATCAAAAAAGAATTTTCATCATCAATTTTTGCTGTGCTTCTGGTCCTGCTGAATTACATATCCATTCGAAGCGTCGGTTCCCATTAGGACGAAAGTTTAGGTACAACCGGGCCCATTGAACTGCCAAAAAATAATGTACAATGTATTTTAAAGTTATAATTCCAAAAATATGCTCATGAGTTTACCCCGCTGATAAGAAAACATGATCAACGTTTTGTTTCTTTTTATCCACCATATCTCAATAGCCACAGCTGAATGTACTAGGTTAACACAAATAAGTTTTGCAATTATTTTTGTCCGTCAGTCAGCGTGATTTCCATTTTTTTTTTGTTTGTTACTGACAAATCGTTGATACGGTGACCTTTCAAACTACGAAAACAATAACCTTTCTAACTACCCTAATTTCACGCGTACAAGGCGCACCTTTTTCGATTTTTCAAACAAGCCGCTCAACCGCTTCAATGTGTTTCGGAAAGCGAACCTTAAACCGTGCAATTCTCTCAGGCAGTACGGAGCCCGGTATAAGGTTCTTTGGTCGCGAAGTGTTGTGGCGCGTTTGGTCTGGCAGGTTTTAGAAAAAAATCCCTCGCGCCTTGTACGCGTGAAATTAGGGTACCTCGACTGAGGTAACCTAGTGTTTCACCTCTTTGTTGAATGATGAAAGTTCCACGTCTTCACATCTTTTGTTATCATTGAAAGATCCTCGTTCAATCAGTGTCCTTTTCTGATCAAGGCTAGGAGGAGCAAGACGCTTGTCCATAGGGTAACTATCGCAGGAATGTGCGCGACAAGTGCGACATAAGAGCGAGGTAGGCGCGAAGGGATTATTGCCTCCCAAGGGCGGGCCTGGAGAGGAAGCGGTCGGTTTTTGGAGGATCCTGCACGCCCTCCCTGAGCACTATATCGTGCTCGTCTCGCACGATAAAGATTTGGGATCTAAATTTATTTGACAAGCGAAAAAGTTCCTCTTTCACGCACTGTAACTCGTAATTTCACGAATTTCTGAGATCCAAATTTGTTTGAAAAGCGAGAAAGTCCCTCTTTCACGCGCTGTAGCTCATCGTAATTCCAACAATAATGCATTGTTGCAACGAACAAGTATGATGTTTGCAATCAGCATGCTTGAGAAACCTTGAGGCAAAGTTCTGAGCAAATTTGGGATTTTTTGTCATCTACTGTATACCACCGTAACCCGAGAAAATGGCGCTCCTGTGCTGAATATAAGTTTATGCTCAGCTCTCCAAACAAATACCCCCCTCCTCGCAGACGAAGTCAGAGGCGTGACTTTGACCTCCCTACCGTAATTCTTAACTCCGCTGGATGGCACTACCATGCGAAATAAGTGTGATATTCGTAATCAACGTGCAAAATTTGAGTCAGCTAATGTGGAATAGTGGCGATTAATGTACTAACAGTAAACAAGAAAGATTGCTTGCGATTAAGAAGAGGTCGATCTCGGTTTGGCCACACGCAAAGCAGACTTCGATACATGTGTGATCCATGTATTGGCCCAGGGTCACGGTAGAGCATGTGTAGACAAGCCATGTTTTTGTGTCATTTGAATGAGATCCAAGAACTTTGGAAGCGTTGTCAAAATGTCATCCGACTAGAGAACGCTGTTGCGAACTTGATGATTAGATGTACGCGAAGCGTATGAGCATTCCATAAATCTTAGCCAGAGAGGTGGAAAATTCGACGTTTGTGGACCAGCGACTCATTTTGGCTGAAGAATTTGACTTTATAGCGAAAAACTGAGCGTTCAGTCAATATTGGTCCCAAGGGACGGAAAATTCAAAGTTCTGGAGTAGAGCTTCTGTTCATCCCCTTTTCCGCAGAGGTTTCAAGATGAAACTCATTTTTCAAACGAGTTGATTAAAAAAACTAGGCATTCAATAATTTTGGCCCCGAG